GGAGATTGCTCAATTTGCAGACTCTAGAAGCACTTCGAGAGGAGTTGGTGGTTGCCTGGAATGAGATACCACAGGAGGACATTGACCACCTGATCAGAAGTATGCCTAGGCGCGTTGGAGAATGCGTAGCACATCAGGATGCATCCACACATTATTAAAGGTCAAAGGGCTTTAAAGCAGTGCAATCATTTTGAAATTTTTATCATTTACTTATTATGCTTCATTAAGTACTTATACAAAATTTTATTAAAATAAAACCATTTAAACTGGGTGTTCGGATTTATATGTCACTTAGTATATATAAGAAATATATTTATTATATATTAAAAAAAACTGTCACTACAAATATTTAACAAACATTTTTTATAAATATTTAATGCTATCGGGGAGGCTTTTTTCGACATTCCAACAGAAATGGTTAATTTTCTCAGAAAAATTAAATGCATTGGTATGATTTTTTCAATAAAAAACTAGCTAAATGATGTCTAAACAAGCTCGCGAAAACCACATCTAGATATCTAACCGAAAAACTCTTACATTTTTATATTTTGAACTAATTTTTCTGGAATTTATTTTTATTATCAGTTGTGGCATTAAAAAGGACCGATTTAAAAAAGAAAGGTTTTTAATGCCCCCGTATATGCGGGACCATCACGCTCTAGGCATTCCTGAAGCCTCTCGTGGGCAGACAAAACCAGCTTTAATTTCGGCTCTCGGTATGTTACGTACTGCATTACGAATCCGGTTTTTCATATATTCTCTGGTTGTAGGTTTAGTCTGATGTCTGTCTAAGCTTCACATTCCTATCATTAGAGCTGATATTTCCAACATAGAATTAATTAAACTTCAGTCGATACATGAAGAGGCCTTATTAAAAAGATACGGGGTGTTGAAGTTTAAAAATAAAAAAACAAATTTTTTTAATATCTTCAAAATCGTCGACTGAAATTTGGTATGTGTGTTTACCTGAGTCCACATTCAAAAGTCTACTTAAAATGAACGTGCATCAGTGGCGGAGATACAGGGGATTAGTTTTTCCAACAGTGCACTGTATTTCGTAAAAAAGAAAATTAAACAAATTAGCACGAAGAGCCGAGATACAATTAGTTTGAAAATAAAATAGGAGGCTTTGATACCAATTTGACGTGTCTTGGGAGATGGTTTGTTATGTTATCTAAAGTGAGATATAAACTGTTTATTTTTGTTTGGACCTTCTGTTTTAGAGTATATTTTGAGTAAAATAAAATTGTTTTAAGTCAACGCCTTCATTTACTCTTCGGTATTCAATTTACCGAAAAACTACCTGGCAACACTGGGTTAAATAATCATCTTAGTCAACGATGGATTGGCAGAAACGGACCCGTACTTTGGCCTGCGAGGGCTCCTGATTTGAACTCCCTCGATTTTCTTTTTGTGTATGCTAAACAAATTAATACTGTTGATCCTTCACAAGAGAGAAAAGCAAAAATAAACTACAATACATTATTTTACGAGCTTCTTCGATCTCGATCAATTCAATCATGTATGAAACGTGAATAATAAGCTACTTGACCTAGAATCTTATAAAATAAACAGTATGCAGTTGTTGATGCTTGCAGGCTTGTAATGATCTATTACCTGAGGGTTTTTATTACCCTCCACTTAGTATCACAATTCAAGAGAAGTTACGAATTTTAGAGAAACCGATTTTACAACGTATTCTTTTAGCCGTTAATAGATCATCGCGATTTGTGATACTGAACTCCAATGAGTTTACTAACAGGAGGAATGATCTTGCTTTTTAACTCGTTCGTTTTATCTAATTTAGAGTAATGACAGTATGGAATCTCTGCTATATGAGCGAAGAAGGTGCAGCGTAAATTTTTGAAGTTTTTGTTATCCAAAACCGCCTATTGGGACCACTCAAACCGAAATACTGCAAAACATGATATCGCACTCTACAGTTATGTTTAATAAAATTATTCTATATAAATCTCCGCCTTATTTATATAATAGGATTATATTTCGAAGTGATGTTCTCACTATCAATGTTCGGTCCCGGAAGCTGATTTCCTAACCACGCCATCGCACATCTATGTTTAATAAATATTTTTCTCATTTTATCTTTCACTTGTATAATCACGTCCCCACAATCCTTAAGTCTGTGTCAGCTTTCAAAAGAAGTTACAGAAAGTCCCTATTAGATGAATTGCAGTGTGTTCTTTTCCTTTTTATATGTTTTATATGTATATACGAGCATTTAAATGTATGAGTATGTTTTTCTGTTAAATCTGCCTAAAATGATTTGACCTTTTTCGTTAAATTATATTTTTTATATAATTTCTTTATATATTTTTCTGCTTGTCATTATTTTTAATATTAATTTATATAATTCGTTGTTGAGCTACAAGCTGGGTCTGATAAACCTAATTTTGAGTATTTAGTAGTTTGCCTCTTGATTAGATTGTGTCTTTATGTATTCTTGAGTTACGAGTTTATTTGATTTTTAGAGGGTAAAAGCATTATCTTCTATCTATTCAATTGTTCAATGTTTATTTTATAAGTACTTTGACAGAAAACGGGAGATCTACAAGATGCGTACCCTCATCAATAAAGACAATAACCCTGTATTTATTTCAGTAAATGGTAATTAAGAGACTCGACTAGTGTGACTGGACTATAACGAATACGCGTCAAGTTGGCTATGCGTGCCTGAAAGGTGGTGTCCTGATGTAATTATTTTAATCATTTTTTATCCAAATTCGGTCGAGCTCGAGTTTTGGGGTTTGTATGTTATTTGAAATTATATAGGGGGGATGAGGTGCCTCTGTTAGGGTATGCCTTTGATACATTTTCGGGATATTAGCAAACGGAGCGATTCAATGCATAATCCAGTCAAGTCACATGAGGAAAAGTGTCGAGAAAACATAAAAAACGTTTTTGATGTACATCTTCCAGTTACTGAAAATTTTCGTATTTATTGTCAATTGCAGATACTTCTGCTGCATTATTTTTTAAATACATATATAAATCTGTAAACAAATAAATAAATGAGCTGTGAGGGAAAGATTATAATGTACTTGACTGGTTTATGCCATGTTTTTTTGATTTTATAAGGGATAAAATTTAAATAAAACAAACTTTGACGCAAAAAATGTTACGAGTATTTTTTGTTAAGCTACTGAATGATATAAACTACTACATGGTTTAGTTCAACTTTTGATTCAAACTTAAAATATTTTCATTTACTCATCATCTGCACTGAATTCTGATGCGGAAATTTCTTTATCGTGTGACGAAAAGCTCTGTTGATATTTTCTGATTTCTTCATAGAACCACTGATCAGATTGTGGCACGTATTGAAAAATTTTGTTGTACTTCAGCTTTATTTTTGGGAAACTTGATACTGACTTTAGTTTTAGCATAAGGCTATTATTGCTGTTGGGGTCACTTTAAATCTAGTTCCAATGCTTAACAAAGTATTCTGTGTAGCCATATACCACAAGAATATTGAAATATGGCCATATAAACTCACTGGATAGTGTCCACCTCTATACGGTTTTGCTAATATCTGTTTTCATCCCCTTAACCTAAATCAGTAAATGTTTTCATTGACATGCGGAGAAGTTTAAAGAAGAATTGAAGGTTATCATAGCTACAAAGACATGTTTCCACCCTTAAAATTTTTGGCGTCGTATCTTTAATTTTGACGACAAACTTGTTTAAAAATAAGAGAGATTTTCTCAAGTGATTTAAACTTGAACAATATCTCCTGAAAAAAAAAACATTTCTCCCATTAACATTATGAAAGTTTTTTTTTCAACACTTTACAGATCACTGCTGTAGACTAAATAAAAATAATAAAAACTATCAGAAATTATATACGCACTTTTCGAAAATAAACAACTTGCAACAAAGCCGCGGTTAAAACCAACGTGTTCAAGCGATTCGAGCAACTGACGTCATCAACTCGTGTGTCATTTTAAACCACATTATAACCGCGGTGAATAGCACAGAAATTTTGGTTATTTGTTTGGATTTGATTTAAGAAGACTGTCATATTGTGCTAGTTACATTATGTATTGCAACATATTTTTTGAGGCAATGCTGATCAACTACACAGCATTTGTAAATAGTCTTATTATGCTCACTAGCGTCAGCGCCATCTCCTAATCAAGCTTGGTGGTTTAGTATGACGTCACATAACAACGATTTCTGACGCTCGATGTCCGCTAGACGCGACTCTAAACGTAGCCTAAATATCTGAACCAGCGTTGCCAGATTCGTCACAGGGAATTATCGTACAAACACGTCAAAATTATCGTACATTATCCTAGGTTCTCTCAGGATTCATGATGAAGGAAATTTCCGTCTCGGGGGGGGGGGCTCTTTTGTTTCTCATTCTTTCCTATAAGCTTGCTGTCTATGTTGTTTGGCTTTCTTCAAAGATTCCGTTTCTTTTTTTTTGTTTTCTGTATTCGAGAGTGTTCATCTTTTGTTGTGCTTATCTCTTCCAGAGCAACTTGATTCGGAATCCGACATATCGTTATTAAATTGAAACCGGTTAAATATCGAAAATAACTGAAAACGATCTTTTGATTTTTAAGTTTCAAAAGACATAAAAACGGGAGATGGGTAAATAAAAATATGTGCGTCATGTTAATACGAGTACATAGAACTTGAGAACTGATTGACGGCAATTTTTCCGGTTGATGTTTGCCGAGATGGTCCGCATAATGCTAGGCAACCCATTATACAGAGTGGGGCAGGCGCGGTTGTCTACCAAGCGGCAACATTGACAGCTGCTTGCTGGTGTTAATTAAACGTAGTTGTTAGATTGATTCAACATCTGTGAGTAACAATCTCATTCGAAAAATTATCGTACATTTAGCTATTATCCTACACGTACTTGAAAGTACTTGAAATTATGGTACAGAAACGATAATTATCCTACGTTTGGCAGCGCTGACCTGAACTGACAGCGGTATGACAACTGTCAACAAGACAATTGTCAATTGTCAGTCAAATGGATTAGGTTATTATCTGTTTATTTTTATTGCGATTTTTACCATTGAATATGGTTGTGATCATCTACGATAAATAGCGTTGTGATAAATAATGTTATCAGGTGATAACATTACTAATAATTTTAATGTATATGTGTCCTGTTGTTTATTAACTTTTATTTTTGTATTATTTCAATTATGTACGGATCCGCGTCACCCGTAAAGGTAAGTACTTTCTGATGGCCTACTTTGTTTTTTCTGTATGCTTACTCAATTTTAGGGTCTTCACAATCAAAATGGGAATTTTCAAAGAACCGGTTCAATAAGAAAAGTGATACCGTCCGATACTAGCAAAGAAATCATTAGTGAGAAGCAAAATGAAACTGTTGATAAATTGTATAAAACTTATAGACAAGAATATGTTATTTTAGCTGAATAGTAAGTTAACTATCGAGGAAATGTAGTAAACTTGAATGACTTATTTTTTTCTAGTGAAATGGTGCAATTAGAGAATATAACTGGTGTGTATGTAATTCCGTCCAAGGAAAGTTCTGTTGGTATGTTATTTAAAGTAAACACAATGTTATTTTCCAACAGTATGGGCCATCATCAGTTCTAAATGATTCAGTAAGGGCCGTATCTACAGTTGTCATAGTCTTTTTTCTCCTTCAAAAAGGCTGCGCCTTTCTAGATTTAATCTGTTCCATGTCAGTGTCAGCACTCTCCTACTGTGAATTTGTTTTCTTTTTGAATTGCAGGAAATTTCAGGCAGTTTAAACAGAAGATATAAATGAATAGAATGAATGATTTGATGCAAATAGATATTTGTGACATATTCTCAAAATAGAGCATGTAACAGATTCAGCAAAGGAGCTCCCAAATCTTATCTGTGGTTTTCATGTTTATAAACTGCATTGTCTGTCAGTATTTTCATACATTAAGTTTTATATGAAATTCAACAAAAGGTAAACTTAAATGGATACTGATGACTAGTCACACATGGAGGTAGATTTTTTGTGTATGCGTGAGGGAGATGAAGATATAAAAAGTAATCCTATAGTTTTACTGTAACTCGCCAAAATCAGTATAAAGAATACTTTTTTACTCCTTGGACTTTGTTCATATTTCATTCTCTTGTTCTTTATCTTCAATTTTGCCTGGTTTCTAGTTGACCTGACCAGAAAAATAACAAATTGATGGACATACATTGTCGCATAAGTAAAGATCCTGTTAACAGTCAATAATAAGTAAAATGAACTGTTCATAACTGAAATTGGCTCATACTGTATATTTTTTAGCAAATCTTAGTGTGTGGGAGGCAACTGAGAGGTTTCAAAACTTAGTGTTGTCAGAACTATACAGGGTTGTTATATGTTAATTAAAATGTTTAAAGCAATGAAGGTGTATAAAGCGATTTGTTTTAAACACTGTTTTTTTGTCGTTATTCAAGTTTTTTTTTATATTTATTTAAATATGATCAAAATTGTGGCATACAATTTTTAATATGCTTGCGCATTCTGGCCACCAGTGGCACTATATCCATATTGCAGGTTAAACATTTTATAATAGTAATAACACTTTCAAGGAACTTCATTAACGTTGCTAGATTACATAGGCAATAGTTTTTTATTTTTTTTACTGTTTTAAACATGTATTAACAATATATTAAACATGTTTTTTTCAGCTAAATTTGAATGTTTTAAACAAAAAAAACAGTTTTAAACAAAAAAAAAACATGATTTTTTTTAAAAATGTTTTTTTCAACCCTGGAAATATATAAAATTCATGGTGAAATTGGTTTCATATACAGATGTAGTAGAGCTCTGTAGATTTAGTATCAAGAATGTTATCTCATGATTGAACACAGAGCTCTTGAAGTCGCCAATTTCATATTTTTTTAGCAACATACTTTGTTTTAACTTCTCTTGGTTGGTGTGATGGTGTGATTTCTATATTTTTACAGCTAAAATCTTTGCCTAATTATTCGTTTTCACTTCCAGTGTGGTTTGGTGTAATATTCGTTAGAAGTGGATTTTATGAAGATGGGGTATTTCGTTTTACTATTTTATTGAATGAAGAATTTCCAGATGCTGGACATCCTGTAAGTACTTTTGAATCACAGAAAAAAATATCAAACTTTGAAAATGGACTTAATTTTCATATTAATATTTCAATATTTTTCCAACTAGAACTGCAAATTTGCAATCTATAATTATTTTCAGAAAGTAATATTTCACTCACACATATTTCATCCTGTGATAGAAGCACAAAGCAGAGAATTATACCTTCTAAAAGCCTTCCCAAAGTGGAACAAAGCTGAACAACACTTATGGCAAGTGCTGAAGTATATCCAGTGGATATTTTACAATGTGGAATGCAGTATCGAACATACTATTAATGAAGAGGCTGCAGAAATGTAAGAATATTTCTTTATATTTTCAATATTGAGAAATTTTGCAAAAATATGTCAGAAATTGTTAACTTCATGTAAGGTACAGTTTATTTTAAAATTCAATTTTGCTGCACAGTTTTGTACTTAACCACTCTAAGGGCTCGCGCAGACAGAAATCGTTCCGCGTTCCACGTTCTTTATAACTAAGGGCTCGAGCAGATAGACGAGTTCTAACACAGACAGGAGAGCGTCACGAAAACTGTGTTCCATGTTACGAAGATTACTTGTATTTCGATAGTTCGTCTTCAAGAGTCGGAATATTTGTTGTTTTAGTGGAGTTTGGAAGAGTCCAATAAGAAAAAAGATACTGGGTGCATCCCCTCAATTGTGGGAGAGATGAAAAAGGCTCAGTGTTCTTTTTCCTGCATTGCTTGAAGATGAAGGACGACTTTTTTACTTCCGAATGTTATTAATAGAGAAACAAGACACCAACTGGAGAACCGCTATATCTACAAAAGAAAGATTGACAGTATTTCTCATTTCCGTGGCTCTTTCCAGCCATGCTGCATTTTTTTAAAAAACTATTTTTATAGTCTGCATTACAACGAACATAAAAAAACCGTCTTGCCATCTTGCGAACGAATCGTTTCACGAGTTCTTTGTATTTCTGACAATAGAACGCGAGAGTTAACACTGACCGGCACTGGTATCACGTATCTTGAAAAGTGACATTATGGCGATTTTTTTTTACATTATGCTGTTTTTTTTGACATTATGTAGGTTATTCTACAAGATGTTAACTTAGCACTTAGTTGTACGTGTTGCCTAAAGGTCATGAGGCTTGTTATCAATCTTTGACTGTGATGTGATACAAAATCTACTGAGATGGCATTACTGTAAGTTGTATGTGTTGATGATAGTTACATTCGGTTCTTGTCTCAAATACACCTAATTGAGATTCAAAGCTAGAAATTAGTTGCGCATCCACTTTTTCTTATCCATTCTGGAAATTTCATATACAATTTTGCTGAATTTCAAAAATGAGAGAGATAAGAAATAATTATATTCACTGTCGAATTACAAGCCATATACATGCTAACAGTAATTACACAACGCGGGCGCGGTGATGATTTCCTCAGTTTTTCGTAATTTATAACTTTGAACATAACCTCTATTCAGAAAGCACAACATATAAATAACCCGTCATACTAGGCATATTCAGTAATGATTCTCTCGCACAGCAAATATCACTGATTTTATACACCAGCAGACCAAAACACATAATCATCCAGATGCGATCTTGCTATTCAACCAACTTTCTTCTCAGAGATAAAAACTACAGACCCGGACCACTCGCCTCACAAAACTATGCATCCAATAATGCGTACTTTAGTTGAGAGATTCCTCCATAGGTGGACGTTCACAACGATCCTAGTGAGCAAACGTGGAATGACTATTTGCGCCCTAAAAACTACCTAGTCTGCAAGTTGACATCTTATAGGGTTTTTTTAACGTTTTATAGGTTTTTAACTGCCGCTGTGTCTGCGCGACTCTATAGAGATCTATCAGTTACAAAGAACGTGGAACCCGGAACGCTTTGCGTCTGCGCGAACCCTAAATTACCTTTATTTATCTTTTACTTTTAAGGTTCAAAAATGATCTTGCCCAGTTTAAATCAAAGTGCCTGGAATCCGTCAAATCTGCCAGTGAACACCTATACGATCTCCCACCAACGGAAGACCCTCACTATATAACATTTGAACCGTATGATCCGGAGGTGCATGACAAAGTACGAGAAAGTATGTTGACTGTAAAGGAAAGCAAGCCGAGCAAAAGGGGTCTGTCTTGGGTGCTGCCAGGCAGTTACAAACCCTTGACAAGGCCTGCTACTCCACCCTCGGAGAGCGAGTTATGATACAGGGGGTAATTGGAATTTAGGGTTATGGTGTGAATAGGTAGAAATGTTTATAGCGGCAGTACACTTCAATAACACAATACATATACCATACAAAGATATTGCAAAAAATGAAGTATGTGGGATGATGGAGCGGTAGACAGCTTGCGCTAAACTGAACGACGCGAGAATGTACAATGAGACCCTTTGGCTCAGGCTCAAAAACACCTCTGTCGGTTTTTGTGACATTTTATAAGTTTTCTGTAACATAACGTAGGTTTTTCTGCAAGATATCAACTTAGCACTAGCTTTTGTACAGTTGTTGTGCACTCGTTTTGTAGCTGTACGTGTTGCCTAAACGTAATGATGCTTCAGCTATCAATGTTTGGCTCAGATGTGATATAACATCTGCTTCAGAGATGGCATTATTTGACGTCTAACATGCAAGTTGTCTACTATAGCTGGAAGGACACGGCAGTGCATAGTTGTAGAGTGAGAATTTTTGTGCTAATAATCTGCGTTGAGGATCAAATACACTTGAGATTTATTCATAGCTGGAAATTAGTTGCGCATCCACTTGTTCTTATTCATTCTGAGTTCCGTAATATGCAAATTTGCTGAATTTCAAAAATGAGAGAGATAAAAGAAAATCCCTGATTGGTTAAGTAATTAACTTTATGTGGAATTTTATATTTTATACTTACTGCCACGTAATTACACACAATTTCCCGTAATTCTCGTCAAGTTTTTTAAACAAAAAAAAACGGGTAAAATCGTAATTTATAACTTTGAACGTAACCTGTCTTCAGAAAGGACATAAATAACCTGTCGGGCATAGCTAATAGAAATCCTCCATTGGCAGCATATTCAACTTATTTTCTCACATAGCAAGACTTTATACGTACAGCAGACGCTCGATAATGTAAACTAATTTAATCCAAGTGTGGTTCACATTATCGAAATGTTTACGTTAGCGAACGTGATTTATATAATATTTGATTTATTAAAAGAAACGTTTAATACATACTATTTATAACAATATAAACAAATATTCTAACAGCGATTAGTATTTTTTTAATTAGAAGAAAAATAGTTAACAATTTTTGTCTGCGTAAATTTGCGCTTAGCATTGTCTTCCAATGCCTGCGCCCGTAATTTACGAAGAACTAAAATATCCGTGTATGAAACTTCTTTTCTTTTAGCCCAATCTAAAGCTTGGTTAAAAACTTGTATAGCTTGCGCGTCATTCACTACACTTCTGACTTCAATGGGATTGTTCTCATCATCCTCACTGTCCATATCCTCCTCCTTATCAGCATCATTCGTCCGCTTATCTTCGTTCCATAAATTAATATCAGCAGGAGTACAAACAATGTTGGAATTCACCGTTTTCAATAAATCAACAACATCCAATGACACACTAATAACATTATCATTATTGGATCGCAAACGTTCTCTAATTACGCTTAAGGGGACATCTTCTTCATCATCTTCATTATTGGTACAAAATAGATTGTTCCAACATTTGTGAATAGTTTGCTGGTTAAGTTCATTTCAGGCCATATGTAAATCTAAAACAGCTTCTCGTAATGTTACTTTTTTTAAAGCCTCAGATAAGTTTTCTGGATTCTTTGATAAGACAGACGAAAGTAGAAACTTCCTATAATTTAGTTTGGTGAGTCTTATTATATTCTGGTCCATCAGTTGAATTAATGGTGTTACGTTGGGCGGGGCATGTACAAGACGAAAATTGACCCATCCCTGCTCCTCAGTTGTTGCTCGGGAGGATGACTTGGTGCATTATCCAATAGTAACAACGCTTTTATTGGAAGCTTCTGTTGTTTTAGGAAACCTTTTACTTACAAATTGAAAACACATCTTCAAATTATGAATAGAGCATTTGTGATAATTGATTGTCATACCTGAGGGACAAAGCACCTGTGGAATCATTTCAGGAATATACTGCTAGTCATCCAAGCGGTTTTTGAACAGTCATAATCAACAGGGATATTAACATTTTTAAATGAGCGCGGATTTTTTGCTTTCCCAATTACCAGTGGCTTTATTTTGTGTGAACCATCAGCATTAGTGCCGGCTAGAAACGTTATTCGTTGTTTCTCCGGCTTTCTTCCCGGGGCAGATTTTTCAAATGATGCAGCATAGGTTTTCTCTGGTAACATTTTCCAATAAAGGCCACTTTCATCTGCGTTGTAAATTTGTTCCATTCTTAAATCTAGCTCGGTAATTGTTTTCATCAATTTTTCTTTGAATGGTTGCACTAATTGTGGTTGTGCTGATAATTTTTCACCAGATATAGACAGCAGTCGAATTCCATATCTTGTTTTGAATCATTGTAGCCAGCCATCACTAGCTACGAAATTTTCAGTTTCTTTCAGTTTTTCATTTAACAGTATCGCTCTCCGTTTAAGTACTTTGCCACTAACTGGGACATGATTTTCCCGTTGTTTTAAAAACCACTTATACAGGGAATTTTTCATTTTAGGTGCCTTCGCATTTTTTAAAGTTTTTCTTTTTCCCGGACCTCCAAATGTATTGCACGTTCTTTGTAAAATTTGAGTTTTCATACGCTTAATTTTACAGATTGTTGCTTTCGATACTCCATATTTTTTTGCTAACTGTGTCACTCCCGCACCTAGTGCAACTTCGTCTATGATTTTCACTTTCTCACTCAACTTTAAACACTTTCTTTTATAGGATGTGGATGCCATAGTCGTAAAATATAATAACGCGTGCAATGTATTCACTTAAGTTCAAAAATGAAATACATACGTACGTATAAACGTATCCTAAACGATCATACGACTGACCGAGTTTGTCGTATTTTATCGCAGAGGTGAATCCCCTACACTCTACATCATAAATCGGGGACTCCCCGACGCCCGACATAAATCATCGAGGCTTCAGCATTTTACCGTCGCGCTGTTTCCGTGCGCCGAGAGTTGTTTACGTTATCGCGCGTTCCGTTTGATCCTATAGAACGAAGTTTGTGTTTACATTAGCGCAAGTTTTCATTATCCCGTGTTTACGTTATCGAGCGTCTGCTGTATGTAGACCAATACGCTTAATCATCCAAATGCGATCTTGCTACTCGACCAACTTTCTTTCACATCTCGGAGATAAACACTACAGACTACTTGACTTTCTGCAACCAACAATGCATGATTGAGCGTGTCGTGTCGTTAAGTCATTCCTCCATAGATGGACGCTTGTAAAGATGCTCAAGGCGATCATAGCGAGCAAACGTGGATTGAACTATTTGCACACTATGAACTATCTAGTCTGCAAGATGACATTTTAACGTTTTTGGGCATTGTTTACATAATACCCCTGCGGAACGGAGAGTAGTCGAGTATGCAGCTTGTATACTCATCGTGTCTCTTTTGAGTGTAGAGACGTGATTAGCTGTCGTTGTTGCCTAGACGTTATTCGTAGCAGATGTGCTAAAATTTTATCTTACTGCGCATGATAGTCTGATCATATTAGCAAGTTTCCCCGAAATAATTGTGAAGTCTGGTTTTATTGGCGCAAGTTGTTCAAGGGTTTATTTAAAACATGGACGCATAAAATGAGTACATCGATTTTTGTGGGAAAACTTATTATCCGACAACAAAGAATGAGAAAACGCGATTTTTGGGATTCAAACGAAAGTGTTGGCAGGAACAAAAAAATCTTTATATAAGATTTTTAGGTATTTATCAGACCTACAAAATGAGACCACATGTAAAAAGATCCGGCTAATAGCAAAAATGTTATGGTCGAAAAACGAAGCAAAATGCAGATTTCGGCACTTGTCGGTAATGCGATGATAATTTCAAGCAGCTACTTGAAATTCTTCAAATCCGAAAGCTTCGTACTTCTAAATAACCACAAAAAAATTGGAGTCGATAGGTCAAGTAGTTTTTTGAGAATTTCTAATTGTCTATCCCAAAACACCTGTTTTCCGGCCATCACTACTAGTTTATTGATCAATATAAAGAGCATTTAATAGCAAAATACACGTGTTTACCTTGCCGATATGAATCACAAACAATTCCGAAAGATAAATGTTATTTTTATGCGAGAAACAAAGGTTACGTTTTTTCTTCTGAACAAAAACATTTCCTATTTGTGAGTAATTGAACAAATGCGCTACGATATCCGAAAAACATAAATTACTATATACATTTTAAAACAAAGCGGATGTGTCAAATCTAGAGATACCCAATCAGAAACTGTAACAGCAGCTTTTAAGTGTCCACAGCCTTGGTATCTCCAAAAAAATTCTGTTTCTGAGACCTCATCAAAAAAATTTCGGTTCAGTTCTTCAGTATTTTGCAAAAGCAAAGTTTTTTTTTGTATGATTTCAAACAACGAAGCTAGGTCTTGAAGAGACTTCGATCTTGTCTGAAAATTTGAGTCATCGGGTGGGTGTCACCCCAAAAAAGGTGACACCCGGTGCGGACCGCCCCCCTTTGCTACGCCACTGTGAAGGTGGATCAAATTTCAATGTTTCGTGCCTTTTCACACCATAACCAGGTTTCCAGATAGGCGGTTATTATAAAAACGTTATTTCTATTTGTATATTTTGCAGATGACAAGTTGCTAATTATTTAGTTATAATTGCAAGTTAAGTTTTGGAAATACTTTTATTTTTAGACATTGACACTTGAAAAAGACAATATTGTAATAAGGATTGTTGAACAATATTTGCATAATTTTATATTTTAAGAGATAAGCAATGAAAAGGGAAATCTGTTCACATTTGCACAAATTTTTCCTCGGTACGCATATTTAAAAATATATTAGGTGTAAAAATAGTTATGTGTAGAGCCTGTATCTTGTGCTATAACATTTGTATAGTACATGCACGCATACCCAGTATTTACTATTGTTCCTTCAGGTTACTATTAACAGTATGTAAAAATGGATAGCTAAACATTTTTTAGAAATCAATTTTTTGCTCCAATGTTTCATTGATCAAAGTTATCTATAATTTAAAAATGTAGCTATAAGGCATCAAAGTGCAATGTATAAGAGTAACTAATTGCAACAAAAGCATAATGCATGACAGATACTTAATTATAATTTATAATCTTTATACACAAAAGCAATATGTTGAGTGAATCAACCAGGACAAAAAACACATGTTTATAACAGAATTTTATTTACAAATATATATTTCCTTTAATAAATCTAACATTTATTCAATTTGTACAGTAGCGGACAAGTTAGGAAACAAATATTAACATTATTATGAACTATTTCATATACCTCAATTAAAATTGTGAACGTTCAGATAATATAAATATTTAAGTCTACCTTTGTCAAGGTTTATCGTCTCAATATTTAAATTCCCTGAAAATAAAAACACGCGTTTTCGTTCTGCGATACTCTGATATTGCGTGCGGTAAATATTAACATCAGTGAAAATGGCAAAAAAAGTAAAAGATTTAAGAGACAAAGTAATTGAATTATTTAGTCGTGGTGTCAGAAATTTTGACATTTCTCAAAGATTAAAAATGAACAAAGGACGATTTCGAAAATTATTAGTAAATATCATGAATACGGATCAACAGCAACGCGACCCAGGTGCGAAGACTGAAAAAAACCGATTATGTTTTGGATCGCTACATTAAACATTTGTTCCATGGTGGACTTTGAGCCTTTTGGTGTCCAGTGCAGAAGCCTATCTTTTATAAAAAAATCGTATTGAATTTCCTAAAACTTGGACAGAACAACAATGGAATACAGTTTTATGGAGGGATGAAAGCAAATTTAAGTTGGATCTGACGTTACGGCATATTTGAGACGTCCAATACGAAAAAGATTCTACAAAAAGGATCAGTTGCCAACAGTTAAGCACGGTGGAGGCAAACTCATGGTTTGGGGCTGTTTTTTCTAGTTCTAGAACAGGTCCAGTTGTTGAAATTATTGGGAAAATGGATCAAAGACTTTACAAAGATATTCTTAGCGAACACGTGCTCCCTTTTGCTGGAGAAGAAATGTCTCAATTCAGGAAGATAATGACCCCAAGCATACCTAAAAATTCTTAAATGTTAATGTTCTTACATGGCCTTTGCAATCCCCGGATCTAAACCCTATAGAACATCTCTGGGAGCATTTTAAAAGGCAGCTGACAAGAAAAACTTTTAAAAATTGAACGATTTATTTGATTATGAAAAAATTTTTGCCAAAATATCCCAACAGACGTCTGTAAAAAATTGGTGTCTTCTATGAGCAGCAGATGTCAGGCAGTGTGGAATGCTAAAGGTTATGTTACTAAATATTTTTTAAATCTTTTTGTATTTAATTTTGAAATAAGAAATATATGTCAATACTTTTGTCATCTTATTTTTGGTCATAAAACAATATGAAGGTATTTTAAAGCTAGTCTGTAGTACCACAGCAAACACAAATCGTCATTTGTATCCTCAAGACTGTAAGCAAACTATATAAGAGAAAAAATAGTTCTTAATAACAAAAAGTAGAAAAATTGGCGCCCTTTTTAAAAATCACTAAGAATGTTTCCAAACTTTTGTCCGCTACTGTATAAGCTAAAATGGTAGTAGTTCCCCTGATATCCATCTTTTTGGCCAAGGATGAACTTCCCTGGAAAGCCTAACAGGTAAATGATTGTAATTTATGAATAGTTGTGGATTGTTTGTAAAGGTTTTAGAATCAGTACCTTTCTAGGAAGTGCTATGTATTTTTTGTTTCTTAACAAGGTTCAAATACCATCTAGTATCTAAATCATATGTAACACTCTCATATGTGAATTTTGTAGGTGGATTGTCTTCACCATTATCGAATTCAAAATGTTTGCTGAATTCTATGGCTAGTTTGGATCTTACTAATCCGATTCCACCAACTTTTTCAGGAGCAGGATGGTAAACCTGAAATAATGAGTCATGTTTTCAAAATCCAAAAAATCTACATATAAATATAAGTCATGGAGCTCTAGTATTTCAACTTTTAGGGTCATTTCGTCTGTCGTTCCTACAATAAATTGTAGGACGCCTTTTGTGGCCACCTTGATTTTCATAGATTTCTATCAATCCGTCTTAGCACTTTATTTTGATGTTATGTTACAAATATCTATTTTGATTTATATCATCTGTTATATAGACTAAAATTTTCTACAATTCAAGAAGAAAACATAGCCTAACAATAGGACAGCGTTGAGATGGAACCTAGAAATATCCCAGCTTTTTTGAAGGATTGGAAAGACTATGAAAATCAAGGAGGCCATAAAGGCGTCCTAAAATTGTAGGATCGACTGACGATACGGCCCTTAAACAGCATTTATGTGTTACTATGAAACAGAAGAAATTTAAACTTCTTGAAATAATAACAGGATTTAGCAATGGTCAAAATGTTATAGAATTCATACCCTTCCAGTGTCTGGCAACATGAATATTTTCTCTGGAATGAATTTCTTTATGAGTAAATCTCCAGCATGATTGTGAGCTAAGAGCATCTCGTCATTTGGCGTAGGAATAACATGAGTGTATACGATGGGATAATCATCACATCTAACAAAATTCCTTTCTCTTCCACATAGTGAAATGTAAGGGAATTCTGGATACCTTGCAGTTTCATTTATTTTCAACTGATTGAAAAAGAAGCGAAGAAACTTTTTCTCCTTAAAACACGATGTAAAATTCTTCATGCGAGCATCATCTAAAAACAACTATATTACATTTATGTGGTAAAAAGTACTGTTTGGAATTTTACCATTCCTTGGTGGTCTACGTAGTAGAAGTATTCCCTGATTTTTGGTTCAGGAGACTGACCCTGAACATAAGAGACCATTCCTCTGTAGTTTTTGTATGAGTTTCTTATATAGCTTTGTGTTTTAAATAATTTGGTATATAGAAAAGCTTGTGGTTGATACATTGTGGAAAGGTTTATTTTCAATTTATTTTTGTTAACAGCGTGCTATAACCAAACTGGAACGATTTAATGATTAATTCAGAAAATCAAAATCATAGTCCTTGTTTTCTTTTTAAAAATAAAAACAATAGCAAATGCATAGACACATAAGTCTGAAGAAGTGAGAGCTGCACGTTAAACGATGGCAACACAGTTGACGTTTGTCAGATGGTTGCGCCGCCTACTTGCCTGGAGATCGCCACGGGTATTACGTATTTCGAAAAGTGACATTATATTGTTTTTTTGTGACATTTATGTTTTTCTACAAGTTGTTAACTGATGGACACATTGTGAACTAGTTTTGTAGTTGAATGTGTTGCCTAAACGTCATGCAGATTCAGTTATCAATTTTTGGCTCTGATGTGATGTAAAATCTGCTTCAGAGATGGCGTTACTGGAGAGAACGGCAACGCATAGGTGCATAGTGAGGATTTGTGTGCTAATAGTAAGTATTGATGATAATTCCATTGCATTCTTGTCTCAAATACACTTACTTGAAATTCAAAGCTAGAACTTTCCACTTTGGAGACACTTGACATCAACCTCACAACACTAAAAGACCAAATCATCACTGAGAGACAATCGAGAATCCTATAGTGAACACCACTACTGAAAAAAGTAGCTAAACGGAATAGAGCTCTGCACCGAGCTGTGAACGCGTAGATATTCCGCCACGCCGATGGTTGCCGATGCCGAGAGACTGAAGCGTGTGACTGCTGTACCTCGCTGCGACGATACGGTACAGCCGGGTAGTATCGCCACGCCCCCTTCCACCTCCCATTCCGTGCGTCTGCTCCCAGTCAACGAAAACATCGAGTCGCTTCGTGATACTGTCAAGATAAGAAAACTAAAAAAAAAAACAAACAACTTTTTTACTATGATCTTGGTAGTTGGTCAGAAATGAAACAGTTTTTCCAACCAATAAACGACGTGCCTATCTGTTGTTTTGTATTTTTTTGAGTTTTCTCATCTTCATCTGACAGTATCACGAAGCGACTCGATGTTTACGATGACCGGAAGCAGACGGGCGGAGTGGGTGCTAAGGGGCGTGGCTGTACTACCCGGCCGTACCGTATCGCCGAAGCGAGGTACAGCACCTGCACGCTTCAGTCTCTTGGCAACCGTCGGCGCGGCGGAATGCCTACGCGTTCACAGCTCCGAGCTGAGCTCTATTCGGTTTATTTACTTTTTTTCAGTAGTGGTGTTCACTATAGGGTTCTCGATTGTCTCTCAGTGGTGCTTTGGTCTTTTAGTGTTGTGACGTGGGTGTCAAGTGTCTCCAAAGTGGAAATTAGGTCTATTTGCAACTCTTCAGAGGGAAACAGGAAGAAAACTAGGTGAGCCTTGCACACTCGTCTACTTGTGTGTTAGGGTTGACATCCTATGTTTTTTTGAATAAATTGCGCACATTGCATACACTGGGAGATTAGTCTTATACTGAGGCATTTCTCAATCGCCATATCAATATTAGTCAAAGAATCACTTACAAAGCGACTCATTTTCGCTACATAAGCTGACAATATTACAAAATTTATTGACAATACAATCAGAAAAAATGCTTAGCGTCGTTTTCTGGTGTCCTAGGATACCATAATTACTTGTTATCAAAGGCGTTGTAATTTTTGGTGACAACAGTTTTGCCGTGTTTAGGAAACTACAATGTCTTACCTCGGTTGTTGGAGAATACGTGGGCACCAAATGTCCAACAAAAGTAGGGATGTAATGATTTGCGAGTTATAATTTGTATTCAAGAAATACAGCTGTCCATTTTTAGCTTCCTCAAAATGATTGCCTAATATCTGCGTATAAGACAGATTTCCATATCTTGCAAAGTCAGAATAGGCTTTCATGAAAATGGCTCATATTTCTATCATTTCTAGTCCATTGGGTCTCTCGTGAAGGTCTAAAAATGGCTCTCCACATAAAAGATAATGCTCTACTTCTTCCAAATTTAATGATTATATAGTCGTGTCCATGACGTAGACATTAAAACATTGGAAAATTGCATCAAGTAGATTGTCTCGGTATTGTGTAAATTTCGTGTTCGGGTATTTAAAAGACACCGTAGATCTATATTTGAACTAGGTATACATCCAATTTTGAATTCAATAAAAGTGTCAGGTTCGAGAGATGAATTTGAACTTCACTTGAAAAAATGGCGTCAAGTAGGTTGACTCTGCTCTTCACATACGTTCAGTACGTAAAGGAATAGACATTGTTTCTGTCCCTACAAAGCTTTTGCGTCCTTAGCATTGTAGTAACAGTGCATGAAAGTTTCATCGAAATCCGAGCGGTACTTCTCGAGTTATAGGCGGTTATTAGATTAGCGGACATATCGACGGAAATGAGTGACATCTCCATTGGTATTCATCAATATTTTATTCAAAACGGAGTCATTTAGAACGTCAAAGCGGCAGATTTTCGATTTTCATTTGCATATTTTTAAGTGATGTGCAGCGATTTTGAGAAATATTTAGCTACGGATAGTCTTCTAGAGTCTAGTAGAGTATATTTCAATACATGTCTTGTTATCTTTACCCGGGTCGAACTAAATAAAAGAGCTGTTAGCAAGTACAAAATGAATCTGTAGCGTACAAAAAAACAAAATTCGGGTCTGTCTACCCGGCGTTGTTGGATCCGTCAGAATTATGTGTCCTGTGTCGATATGTCAACTGTCATTCGACCGTGATGGATATGGTTATAAAGTGTTCCGTGTCAAATGTGTGTCTAGAATCACATAACCTTGCTTTTGAGTGGTATTGGGTATTGGTTATTGGTGCCTGCCCCACATTTATCAATATCTTAAACTACAATATGTCTCTTTTCGCAACAAGTAAGTATTGAAATGATGTTAATTTTGTGGTATTTATCTGTATCTTCCAGGATGTGTACGTCCTTTCTTTTTCCATCATTATACATTGGAGACAAGTAGTTTTGTCCAAATACGAGGATATGCTGCGAGAAAGGGCACCAGGGAAAGGAAGAGAAAAGCCAAAGTTAAGTCTGTTGTCGAGAAAGTTGGTTTCATACCCCACAATCAAAGAGACAAAGAGAAGTAAGGTAAGTAAGTGATTTCAAGCCCTTGATTTAATGCAATTTTTGCTTAGGTTCTTAGCTAATCGGAAGCAAAGAAAGGTAGACGATTCTTGGAAAGGTGATCCTACCGATGATGTGTATGTAGCAAAGTACTTTAAATGGAAAGTGTATCCATTTGGTGAAGCAGTACAATGTCACAGGGAGACGCATCATCCAGATATGTATAATCAGCCTAATGCAAACCTCCATGTATCAATTGAACTTGATATGCAGGGTGAGAAAAAGGTAAACATTGTATCAATTACATATTTCTTATGTGGTAAGTGTTGAACCTAAAGAGAAGTTGCTTGGTCCATCATGATCATGTGTCACAAGTATCAAACTAGGTTAAGTCCAAATAAGTAGTTTTGAGATAATTGTATTTGAAATATTTTTCTTGCATTGTATTGTATGTGGCTTGACATGAGTTGAAAAGTCTTCCTTATTATTACAGATAGATGGTTGCTGCATGTGGTAAATGAAAATTAACAATAGTATCATAAGCTTAACAAATCAAACTCATTTTTGGCAAAAATGGACTTAACCTAGTCTGGCTCTGGGGTACAGAAGTCTGTACCTCACAAGTGCTGGCTTCGTTTTTTTTGTCAAGATGTTGAGTTTTTATCATTTTGATAACTATTGCTGTCCATTTATGGCATCAAGTTTGAAGGTGTATACTTCATGCCCCAAATTTAATCAAATGGTTACGTTTGATGTTTATATCTCAATTCATGAAATTGTATCTGAAGTTCTGAATTATTGTAGACCAGATTTTTGGATAACTCCACAAGGATAGTTGCGACACCACATAGGTTTGATCATGGAGAAGAAAGAGCAGTGATAGCTTTTTGTAAGGATCCAGATTTGCAACAAAGTGCTGTAGATGCAAACTAGGTTAAGTTCAAATAAGTAGTTTTGAGATAATTGTATTTGAAATATTTTTCTTGCATTGTATTGTATGTGGCTTGACATGAGTTAAAAAGTCTTCCTTATTATTACAGATAGATGGTTACTGCATGTGGTAAATGAAAATTAACAATTGTATCATAAGCTTAACAAATCAAACTCATTTTTGGCAAAAATGGACTTAACCTAGTCTGGCTCTGTGGCACAGAAGTCTGTACCTCATAAGTGCTGGCTTCATTTTTTTTTTGTTAAGATGTTGAGTTTTTATCATTTTGATAACTATTGCTGTCCATTTATGGCATCAAGTTTGAAGGTGTATACTTCATGCTCCAAATTTAATCAAATGGTTACATTTGATGTTGTCTCAATTCATGAAATTGTATCTGAAGATCTGAATTATTGTAGACCAGATTTTTGGATAACTTCACAAGGATAGTTGCGACACCACATAGGTTTGATCATGGAGAAGAAAGAGCAGTGATAGCTTTTTGTAAGGATCCAGATTTGCAACAAAGTGCCGTAGAAGCAGGAGCACAACTATCTGGTGGCGTGGAACTGATTAAGCAGATACAAAATGGACAAGTTTCACTTCAGGTATGGTATTTTTATATAGCTGGAGTTTTTATTTATAATACAAGGTGACACAACCATAACATTATTAACTGTTGAAAATAACTAGCACCAGAACGTTGAAAACAATTTTAACAAAATATTGTTCCAGAAATTTAAGTTCTGTTATTTCAGGATGGCAAAATGTTTCGAGTGTGGGTCATTATGTGGGTGTTGTGTTTATAGACTTTAGGAGAGCACTGAAAACAATAAATATAAATTTGTTGATAAAAAAACTAGAAAAATATGGCTTTGAAGACAACGTTTTAAGATGGTTCTCAGGATACTTGGAACAAAGTACAAAAACTCCTTATCTTCTGTAAGAGAAAATAGACATGGTGTGCCTCAGGGAACAGTGTTGGGTCCTGATGTATTTGTGCTGTATATAAGTGATATTGTAAAGGCTGTAAAAAATTGCAAAATTCAGTTGTTTGCAGATGATACAATTTTGTTCATGGAATGTGACAACATAGATAATTTGGTTAAAGTGATTTATGAAGACTTGAAGACATTATATGCTTGGTTAGAGAACAATAGTCTTAGTATTAATGTTGACAAGACTAAGAGTATGATACACATCGAAGACAACATACACATGAGCGTACAAAAAAAAAATTTAAACGATTTAAATAATATGCAGGAATATGTCTGAACTAGATATGGGGGGTTTCAGATTTGTGCATCAAAGATAATTTGTATAATTTGCTTTTTGAAATTTTCAAAAAGAAGATGTTTAACAGTTGATGGTAATGCATTTTATATAGATAGATGACATTATAGGTAAGGCATTTATGAAATAAGAAATAAGGAAGTTTTTTGAAGAGGCATAGTTAAAGTGTCAGTAAATTGAATGGTTCTTGTTCACGGGATATCAATTTACTTTTAAAAATGAAGGAATCAAAGTACATAACAGGTTGTGAACATAGCATAATAAATGAAAATAAACACAACTTTGCAATATTCAACTGTTCAGCTGTTCAAAACATAAACTAATGCAATCATATTTTCTTAAGTTGAAAATCAATCTACAACATGAATTATTAATTTTTTTTTATATGTTTAGCTGAAACTGAATCTAGAAATACTAAATCACAATATGTGATTTTTTTCATTATTAAAGATTCACATCATTCTTTTTATCTAAAATCAAGTAATTCTTTGTTTAAGTACAGATGCTGTAAAACAGTAAAACAATTTTTAGTTACATCATTTACATGCTAAATAAATTTGAGATTTTCATCTTTATGCAATGCGATCTTGCTACTCGATCAACTTTCTTCTCAGAGATGAAAACTACAGACTACTGGGCTTCACAAAACATATGCAACCAACGATGCGTGTAGTTGAGTCATTCCTCCATAGATGGACGCTCACAACGATCCTAGTGAGCAAACGTGGAACGACAGTTTGCACCGTAAAAACTACCTAGTGTGCAAGATGACATTTTATAGGTTTTTTTGACGTTTTATAGGTGTTTTATATGATACCAGTGCCAACTATTTACACCAAGGATTTACAATAAATAAGCATAGTCTGTCTTGATTCGGGTCTAAAGGCCTTTAGACGAATCAAGACAGCAGGTTATCAACTGGCAGTGAAAGCCTTAACCAATAAATTGAAATCAGTTTTTGTTTGTCCATCAAGCAATAGGAGTTCTGTCATAGTCACTTTTGAAAATGATTTATGAATACAGCTTCAACACTAGAATGTGTTACAGTTTTGTATTTTTTGCAAATAAAAAAGCTGCGGTAACAGCCAAAGCAACATCAAATCTTCATATGGAATTTTGAATTTATAAAATTAATCCGTTTTTCAGGATTTCAACTTCGTGGTAGCTCATCCAGAAATTTTACCAGAGTTAGTCGCATTAAGAGGACTGATGAAAAGAAAATTCCCAAATCCTAAAGCAGGAACATTGGATGTCGATCTAGCGACTTTAGTGAAAAAGTTTATGTATGGTATCAATTACACAGCTGTAAAGGATGAATATGAAAAAGATTTCGGAATAATCGAGACTGTCATTGGGACCGTAAGTAAAATGATTACGAGTTGACCGCTGAACTGTAAAGTGACGCTTTGTTTTAGTTGAACATGGATGCGAAACATCTAGAGGAGAACTATGTAGCTTTAATAAAGGACGTGTACACAATGAAACCAAGAAGAACAGGGGAGTTCTTTAGAAGGTAAGATGTTCAACTTGAAGCATTGCAGTGGTTGATTAGAATTAACTATTCGAAAACGTAGGCTATTTATTGTACCAAAAAGTCTCGCTGCTTTTCAACAGAGTCATGTCTAAAAAAACAGGCAACATTTTTTGGAAAGATTATCCAACTTCCAATTGAACAGTAATAAATTATTTCTAATTTTTCACTAATGTACCAGTTGATAAAACACTCGAAATACTAGAAGCACTTCTAAAAAATGATAATTATAAAGGGTGTCTCAATAAGAGGGCCGGATTTGATTTTCAAGACACAATTTCTTTTACATTAAGCGAGTATTTATATTTCAACATATAGAGGAATAGTTGCGAATAAACATGAAATAGGACATCCAGTAAATGGCCATCACAAAACCTGGCACAGGGTCAGTCTTTTCTTAAAATTCTGGATAACGTTTTCGCACAACTGTGGCTCTAACGCGCCGAATCTCTTCTTGAAGGCGTTCAACAACATAGCCCCAGAGGAAGAAGTCCATTGGCGTTAGATCGTACGATCTTGGTGGCCGATTTTGATCACCAAACCGAGAGATCACACGGTCTGGAAGCTTGGTTCGCAGTAACAAAATAGTTTCGCGTGCTGTGTGGTTGTGTGGTAAGTCTTGTTGGAAGAAAATATCCTCCACCTCAATTTGATCCTACTGGGGCCACAAAAACTCGATTAACATTTCGCGATACCGCACACCATTAACAGGTACCGGAGTTCCAGCAGCATTGTCGAAGAAATACCTTAACTCGCGGCAGATGCATTGGTTGTTCGATTATCACGCGAGGCTTATTGACGCCACCCATTCAGTTGAAAATATGTCTCATCAGAGAAAACGATTTTCTTCGAGAAATCCGCATCAATTTGGTGGTGCTCCAGCGCCCAATCAACGAATTCACGGCGGTGCGTATGATCCGTTGGGCACAGATCTTTTGTCAAAATTAGTTGCAGAGTGGGCCTGGTAAGGTTCAATTCTTGGCTACGATCCCGAATGAAAGTGCCTGGTCTTCACATTCAGCAACGGGACTTTTGTCTCAGATTTCGTAATTAAACGGCGAACTGTCATTTGGCGCATTATTGCGACTGAAAATCGTACGTAATTTGCGAACTGTTTCCGCTTAATTTTCTCCATTTTTGTAGTGAGTTTTCACAATAATCAAACGTTGCTCGTTTGAATACTGCTCCATCGCGTGTTCTGGACATGACAGCTGTCATCAAGTAAACACCATATCATTTGTACAAAAAAAGTGCAAATTCAAATCCGGCCCTCTTGGTGAGACAGCTTTTTTTTAAATCGTACAAAACTGAAACCAGAAGGTATAATAGATTTACTCAATGTTGCCTTAAACTTCAGTCATTTAAAACGTTGTTTTGTTCACTGGAGAGGCCCCATTTGGAGTATTGTTCTTGTGTTTGGTCATCCAACTGTAATGTTCATATTCAGGGAATTGAGAGAGTGCAACATAAATTCTTAAGATTAATTTCATTCAAATAAAACATTATGGTTGAAGATAGTATCTATTGCGTCATTGAAAACTCTCTCAGTATCTCAACCCTTCAGGTAAGACGGAATCAGAGGGACTTGTCACTATTTTATAATATTTTGCACCCTCTTAGTTTTGCTCCAGAACTTTTGAAAAATATTAATCACCATTTGCCTTCTCGTCAAACAAGACTGAATCAACCATGCCATGTGAGATCATTTCGTACTAATTATGCTAGTAATTCCTTCCTGTCTAGATCTTCAAGGTTAGCAAATCAGTAATTCTAATAAGTTGGATTTCTTCAGAAGTCAGAAAACATTCAAAATCTAATTAGATTCCTGTCTGTAATATTTAATATTTGATTTCCCCTATATATACTAAGCGACATATAAATCCGAACACCCAGTTTAAATGGTTTTATTTTAATAAAAGTTGGTCAATGTATTTATCTTACTGTAAATAACAAGTGAAAAAATGTTCAGTCTTATCAGTTGGACATTCCGGTTTTTATACTGCTTTTTTTTAATTCACTAACGCTCTAAAAATGAATATTTCAGCCGCAGTAAAGAATCAACGTTGGCGGATTTTGGTTCTTGACATCCTTTACGATCGGTTACGATGCCTAGAGTACGGAGACCTGTACGATTTCGTCAACTTAGTGAGTTTGATAGGGGCCGTATAGTGGGACTTCGGGAAGCTGGACTTTCTTTTCGGGCAATTGCAGTTAGAGTGCAAAGAAGTGTAGACACTGTGGTTAGGTGTTGTCAGGCATGGCGTCGAGAAGGCCGTACGCAAAGAGCAAGGGGCACTGGACGCCGCCGTAGAACAACAGACCGTGAAGATCGCCGCCTAAGATCATTGGCCTTAAGGGACCGTTTCTCCACTACCAGGTCCATTGCAAATGAATGGTTTGCAGAACACGGAAGACCTATTGGCATGCGAAGTGTTTACCGACGAATGAGAAGTTTTGGCTTGTTTTCATACCGGCCACACTGGGTCCTCCCTTTAACTCGAGAACACCGACGTAATCGCCTTGAGTGGTGCAGACAACGGTCACTCTGGGATCAGGAATGGAACAGTATTGTCTTTAGTGACGAGTCTCGATTTTGTTTAGGCATGCACGATGGTCGTGCCAGGGTTAGAAGGCGACGTGGCGAAAGGAGGAATCCACAGTTTTTTGTTCAAAGACATGTTCATCACACTGTTGGAGTTATGGTTTGGGGTGCTATAGCTTATGGTTCCAGGTCACCTTTAATCTTCATCAGAGGTAACATGAACGCGCAGCGTTATATCCACGAAGTTCTAGAACCCCATCTTTTACCCTATCTTGACACCCTGGCAGATCCAACTTTCCAACAAGATAATGCCCGACCACATGTTGCAAGAGTCACAATAGACTTCTTTCAACATAATAATGTCACATTGTTACCATGGCCACCAAGATCTCCCGACTTATCCCCAATTGAGCACGTGTGGGATATGATGGGTAGGAGATTGCTCAATTTGCAACGTCCTCCTCAGACTCTAGAAGCGCTTCGAGAGGAGTTGGTGGTTGCCTGGAATGAGATACCACAGGAGGACATTGACCACCTGATCAGAAGCATGCCTAGGCGCGTTGGAGAATGCGTAGCACATCAGGGTGCATCCACACATTATTAAAGCAGTGCAATCATTTTGAAATTTTTATCATTTACTTATTATGCTTCATTAAGTACTTATACAAAATTTTATTAAAATAAAACCAATTAAACTGGGTGTCCGGATTTATATGTCATTTAGTATATTTAAATTTTAATTAAATTCGTTACAATTTAGAAATGATCTGGATTGTAAAGTGCTTGTAATTGTTTTAGGTGTTAAATATCTGAGTCAAAGTAGGGTTAGGTTTACATTAGATTTTCTATGCCGTACTTTAATTGGGCAGTCGCTCGTTGATAAATAAATAAATAAATCGGAATGACACCCAGTCCTGTATTGTTTTATTTATAGAACATTTTAAAAGAAACTATATACAGAGTGTTAATTAAGTATGTACCATAAATTTAACACACGATTGAACAATTTTAAGACAAAAAGTTCATATAAACATAGTTTTGCAAATATTTAGTTCTCAAGTGGTCATATTTATAAAAATGGTTTCTAGTAAATATCTTAAATATCCTTTACCTAATTTCGTTGTAATTTATTTATAACATTAAGGAGCTAATTTAGCCCTTACTTGATTAAATTTATCAAGTCCAGAGTTCTGTGCAATTTGTATGTTCTTTGCGTTAAGCAAATATAAATACAACTTTTTTATCTCTTGAATTCTTTTCGTATTTTGCTTAGTTTTCGATAAAAAAGTCCACTTAATTGCATATCCAAAGGCAACACAAGGAATATGGGGAACATTTCTTCTGGAAATTATTTTTTATAATTCGTTTTTATAGTTCAATAGCATGTTGCATTAGATCCGTTGACTAAACTTGTGTGAAGATACGAAAAATAGAAAAAGAGAAAAATTATTCATATTGCCAGCCAGCTTGAAAACGCACGTTGAATCCACTGATAATTTCCCCATTTTAGGTGTCTATTATGGAGTCCGCCATCACAAGAGAAACTGAAAGTGGACCATGAAAGTTATCTTGATATACCTAAAAAACAGGAGGTTGAAGAAGATGATGACAAAGACAGTAAAGAAGATAGAATAGCTCTATAATGTCTTCATTTTATAGGTATTTTAATTATGAGTAAGAAGTTATCACTATAATCGCTTTTGTATTTCAAGTAAGCCATTGTTATTGGTTTCATTAAAGTGATGGTGATATTAAAGCTACTGTTGTTTTCCCTCTAAGATCCTCATTAAAATGACCGTTAAACAATTTTGGAAGCACCAAACAGGTGATGCTTGAAGCATGGAAGCAATCAAACAAATTACTTATGCATCATTCCGCTTTTAAAAACCATCAGTTCCATAACAACTTTATCACACACTTACTTAATGATAGGCCTTAGTTACAAGACCCCATTCCTGAACCAAATTCGAGTAAAACAGTTCATATAATAAATATGTCTCTAAAAAAGTGTGCTTTCTAAGATACCGGGAGTTACAGTTTGAAAAAAGTGTTTTTGACACAGGAAAAAATAATAGCAAACCGACACGGAAAGTAAAATATATTATTTTTTTAGTCCAGTGGTAAAGTTCACATTGCAAATTTTTGAATTACGCGTTAGGTGTGCGGGTTAAATAGTCTTTGCTATCGAGGCTTACTTTAAGAGTGGCGATTCATACGCGGAAATTTTGTACACGATACAACATTCGCCGTCCAAGAGATGCTCCAAGTAAGAACCTATTGAAAAAGTGGATTAAGAGGTTCCTTGAAACAGGCTATACTCTTTCCTGGCCCCAGACCTGCTGTATCAACCCAAGAAAATGTGCGTCGAGTAAGTAAGTAAGAAAAAAATGGGTTTTCATCGTTTTAAAATCAAATCAGTCCATGCTTTAAAGGAAGGTGATTACGTATTACGGAAATCTTGTGCTGAATGGATGTTGAATCTTTTTCCTACGCTGCGCAGGCTCGAGAACGTTGTACTAAGTGACGAAGCCCATTTTCTTTTAGACGGTTATGTGAACAAGCAAAATTGCAGATATTGGCGACCAACGAACCCAAAAGAGAAGCATCAACATCAGCTACATAGTCCAAAGGTGTCTGTTTGATGCCCCACATCCTCTAGCGGTATTATTTCTTTGAAGATGAAAACGGTCATGCATTGACAGTCAATTCCGAGCGAAGAAGGACATGATTGACACTTTTTTGCTCTTATATATGCAGAGAATCGATGGACACGGTGAAAGCAATTTTTCCTCAAAAACGTAGTAACATAGGAAGGTTACCAAGGGACAAAAAAGTTGTATCATTAACTGCCTAATCCGAAAAACTATAGATTTTTTTTCAAAAAGTTAGTGGTTTACAATTTTTGTTAATATAATTCGTTAGACTGCCCCCCACTCCCGAGACGCTACTGGCATTCATAATCATATTTTAGTTAATACTATACTAAGTGACATATAAATCCGAACACCCACTTTAAATGGTTTTATTTTAATAAAATTTTGTATAAGTACTTAATGAAGCATAATAAGTAAATGATAAAAATTTCAAAATGATTGCACTGCTTTAAAGCCCTTTGACCTTTAATAATGTGTGGATGCACCCTGATGTGCTACGCATTCTCCAACGCGCCTAGGCATGCTTCTGATCAGGTGGTGAATGTCCTCCTGTGGTATCTCATTCCAGGCAACCACCAACTCCTCTCGAAGTGCTTCTAGAGTCTGAGGAGACGTTGCAAATTGAGCAATCTCCTACCCATCATATCCCACACGTGCTCAATTGGGGATAAGTTGGGAGATCTTGGTGGCCATGGTAACAATGTGACATCATTATGTTGAAAGAAGTCTATCGTGACTCTTGCAACAAGTGGTCGGGCATTATCTTGTTGGAAAGTTGGATCTGCCAGGGTGTCAAGATAGGGTAAAAGATGGGGTTCTAGAACTTCGTGGATATAACGCTGTGCGTTCATGTTACCTCTGATGAAGATTAAAGGTGACCTGGAACCATAAGCTATAGCACCCCAAACCATAACTCCAGCAGTGTGATGAACATGTCTTTCAACAAAAAACTGTGGATTCCTCCTGTCAGCACGTCGCCTTCTAACCCTGGCACGACCATCGTGCATCCCTAAACAAAATCGAGACTCGTCACTAAAGACAATACTGTTCCATTCCTGATCCCAGAGTGACCGTTGTCTGCACCACTCAAGGCGATTACGTCGGTGTTCTCGAGTTAAAGGGAGGACCCAGTGTGGCCGGAATGAAAACAAGCCAAAACTTCTCATTCGTCGGTAAACACTTCGCATGCCAATAGGTCTTCCGTGTTCTGCAAACCATTCATTTGCAATGGACCTGGTAGTGGAGAAACGGTCCCTTAAGGCCAATAATCTTAGGCGGCGATCTTCACGGTCTGTTGTTCTACGGCGGCGTCCAGTGCCCCTTGCTCTTTGCGTACGGCCTTCTCGAAGCCATGCCTGACCACACCTAACCACAGTGTCTACACTTCTTTGCACTCTAACTGCAATTGCCCGAAAAGAAAGTCCTGCTTCCCGAAGTCCCACTATACGGCCCCTATCAAACTCACTAAGTTGACAAAATCGTACAGGTCTCCGTACTCTAGGCATCGTAACCGATCGTAAAGGATGTCAAGAACCAAAATCCGCCAACGTTGATTCTTTACTGCGGCTGAAATATTCATTTTTAGAGCGTTAGTGAATTAAAAAAAAGCAGTATAAAAACCGGAATGTCCAACTGATAAGGCTGAAAATTTTTTCACTTGTTATTTACAGTAAGATAAATACATTCACCAACTTTTATTAAAATAAAACCATTTAAACTGGGTGTTCGGATTTATATGTCACTTAGTATATTTCATGCTATCGGGGAGCTTTCAGAAGAATGGTGTATACTGATATCACACAACATGAAAGTATGACATTATTTTCAGAGTTTATCAATAAAAAACGATATCCACTGTAATATATTTTTTATTTATACATTTTTCATACATTGTTTGAGTTTTCAAAATTTTATACAATTTTTGAACAATCTCAATCTATGGAATGTATAACTAAATGACATAGACAACAAAAAATCTTGCTGAAAAGAATCTAGATATAAAACTTCATCATAAAAAATATAAATTGCTTTTCAAATTAGTACTCTATAAATCATTCCATTTTTGTATAAATAATAATGTACAACATATACAAATAACCAGTTAAATGACTAGCATGGTTTCACTGCATACAGAATAAATAATAAACATAATGCGTACTTGTGAACATTTTCATAGAAAGCAAATCATACCGAAACAACCAGTTTGTAAAACACACATTTTCTTTTAAACATCTTTAAATTAGAAGCAGACTTTATATCATTATTTAGTTTAAAAAAATTTAAATACTCCTGTCTGAAATATTGATCTGCTAGTTTATTACTAGTGCAATTTTGTAAATGAAGATCTATATTTCCTCTTGTATAATAATTATGGCAATGATTATCCAATTCTATGTTTTTTTTGTTCTAAATGTTGTGGCAAAATATTTTTTATTTTAAATATAAGAATATATATATATATATATATATATATATATATATATATATATATATATATATATATATACATATATATATATAGGTGAAAAATTAAAGCTTCCGCCTTTTGTTGGGTACTTCGACAAAATTTAAGCAAAATACTTTTTTAATTCTCTCTAGCTTTCGATGGACTTTGCCATCATCATCAGGAGCTGCAATTACAATGATAACAGCTCCTGATGATGATGGCAAAGTCCATTGAAAGCTAGAGAGAATTAAAAAAGTATAAAGAGTCCTCTGCTTAAATTTTGTCGAAGTACCCAACAAAAGGCGGAAGCTTTAATTTTTCACCTAACTGGTCTAGACGACAATGACCACGTCTCAAAAAATATATATATATATTTTATATTCAATTACTGCAATTCTTGTAACATAGATTTTATTCTGGTGGACTTTTCAATATCATTTTACAGGACCTGTACTTTTGAGAATGCAGCTTCATTGGTAGTGAACAAGGTAGTTGAACATTAAATGCTGTAGAATAATTGTATTATAAACTATTTTTTTTAATATGCACTGAGAATAGGAGTAGCGCTGTAAAAGTAATTTGTATTTTGACATTTTTTAAATAATATATTCATAGTGATCCTCAAACTTTACTATCAATAATAAATATTTAGTTGATTCAACATTTTCAATTATTCCACCATTTATCTTAACTGTGATAGTATTTTCATTTAGGTATTTCCCTATTAGGATACATTTTGGTGTAGAAGCATTCAATTTTAGTTTTTTTCCATTCAACCAATTTATGATTTCTTTCAAGTTAGAATTCAGCATTTTTAAAGCAGTGTCTATATTTTGATCTGATATGTTTAGTAATGTATTATCTACAAGTCTCTGAATTTGAAAATATTACGAATGTCATTAATGTATAAAATAAATAGTAGTGGACCTAGATTACTACCTTGTGGTACACCAACAGAAATATGTTTTGATGTTGATGATGTAGAACCAATTTTGTTTTTTTGACTGCTGTCAATTAAGCAGTTTTGTAGAATTTTGAATGCAGAACCTTTAACGATGCGATTTTGTAATTAATTTATTGCTGTCAGTAGTTTCAAGCGCAGTTTTGAAGTCTAAAAAAACTGTCACTGGGAAATTTGAATATCGTAGATTTTAAAAACCAGTTCATATGATTTGCTTTGAATGAAACTTGAGTGGTTTTACAAAGCACCATCCTTGATACTTTGACAGTCGAATATCAAAAAGCTGCAGCTGACATCCATTTAAAAAAATTAAGGTTTCATAGATCCATAAAGACAGACGTGCCGAACAGATGTATTGCTTATTCTGTTTATTGCTCTAAATTTGAGATAATGTCGATATGAATCCATTTTGATTATCAAGGCACATAATCCCACTTTCAAGTGACCGATAGTTAATATAAATTTTGTGTACCTTACTATTTTTTCTGCCAGCTGCTCCAGAGGGACACGATATTTTAAATGTCTCAATTTGTGGTCCCAACCATACCATCAATGGTTGAAATTTATTTTGTACGATGAATTTATCTCGAATCTTATGCTCGATAACGGTTTTATCCAGCATTTTTGATTCCAGCAACTATAGATTTAGATAAAGTATGTCCTAAACGTTTTGGCTCAAAATTCATTGGCTTTAATTTTAACAAACACAAAGTAATATCAAGTTTCCTTTAGAAACAAAAGTTTGTTTACTTACTTTACTGTCAGTTGACATTTATTTATTTTGAAGTTTTCGCTTCAAGATGTATACATTAGAAATAAGAAAAAGTATCTACAAAGCTCACAGAGGTCAGAGAGATTGGCGACAAGCGCAAAAAATCAGGTTGGAATGTCAACAAACAAAGCGAAATTTGCGGATAAAATCCTTGTCTGGTGCGCAAGTTCTAACAGGGGTGTATCCCAACCTATTGTGGGAAGAGTCAGGGGTGAAGCTTTGAAAGGTCAGAGCTTTATTGATAACTGCCTTTCCCAGTTGTTTCAGTTTGTCCACGAACATCATGCTAATGACCACAAATGAACAATTAAGACGTCGAATTTACGAAAAACTGAGAGAATTGATCTGAATTCCGTCCAGTACCTCACTTAAATCGATAGTATAGTTTTGTTGAGTATTGAGTTGTAATTTATGATAACTAGTTAGTGTTTTAATAAAAATCTTCATTAAAAAAAACCGATAAATATTTAGTGTCAAAACTTTTGGAACATACGTTATTCACCTCGTATCTCCTAAACCAAACTGCCCTCTGTAGGTATTTGTCCCGCAAAAGGTGTCCCTCAAACATATACATACGTAACTAATCTAAGTTCGAAGACATCGACAAAATAATATTATACACAATGCAAGGAAGATATGTTTCATGTAATATTGGGAATGTACCTTATATAATGTAATTTGTCTTTGAATTATGTGCAAGGTATTTATAACTATATACACCTTTGGGTATGAGTGTCTACGTATAACGTTTCCATAGAGACCTGATGTCACCTATCGCTCTTTTTCATTTCATATTGAATAAAAGCATATTTATTAGTTTTATCAAACATAGCAAGTAGCTGAATTGAGTAGGTCCGTCCCACCAAGAAAAGAAGACAGCAACCATGGATAGCTGTTTCGTGCTTCTTAGCTACTCATCAGCATATCTCCGGTATACAGGATCATTGTGATGCTTTCGTTTGTTCGCCCAGAGATAAGAGACCAAGCCTATACCATGCTGATGAGTAGCTGAGAAGCACGAAACAGCTGTCGAAGGTTGGCTGTCTTCTTTTCTTGGTCGGACCAACGACAGCATCTTGTTTAACCTGTTTAATGGCAAGTAGACCACTTCTACATTCAGCCAGAATCATCAGGTATCTAGCGGCACGGCTATTAAACGGGAACTGAGACTAATAGCAGCGGTGCGCGATCTACAATGGTTCGATTCTGGCGCGATAGATGGCGCTTCGCGCTATCTCATGCTACCCGAATTGAGTTTTTTGGTTAATAAAGTTGTGATAACCTTATCATTGTATATCATTACAACGCTGCCTTTTAGCGTGGAAATAAGTCTGTCTATAATCGCGTTTAGAAAGTTATACATAAACACGCTACACATGTGTGGACAATCTCTATATGTATAGGACATCAAAGAACAGTATTTTGTGACACAGTGCTGTTCAGCAATTTTCAAATTTTAATAATTCATTTGTGATTTGAGCCTGAGGTATCTCGAAATAGGAAGCACAAACCCGAGCTACTACTACTACTACTAGTTCTAATATAATTGATTTTGCCATATTGGATTGAAATTGAACAGTTGCGCAATCTATTAACAAGAAAAACATGACTGAAATTCTATAAACAGTATACAGGGTGTAATTTAATTGAAGGCTAAAAACACAAGATATGATCCCTTAGCTCATTTTATGAACATAAAGAATGTCCTAAACATCTTAACTTTTGAGCTACAGGGTATTAGAAATTTAAGAAAAATTCGTTTTCTTATAACTTTAATACCGTTCTAGATATTTTCATGAAATTTGACATGCACTTACTAAGCACCAATAGGCATTTTTTTATGTAAAATATATAGAAGATTTCAAAAAATGGTACGCCACTGCTTTTTAAAAAAATTATTTTGACATCCTCATTTATTTCGTAAAAAATTTGACCTCTTGATTTTTTTCCATCAGATGCACCATTTTGCCTATTTCACTTTACTTGAATAAAAATTAAACAAAACACATCTTACCTACAAACTACATGAAATTTTAGCGATTTTGGAATGCATAAAAATTAAAAAACAAGTTCGCAATAAGTGTTGACAATGTCTGTAGATCAAATAAACTATTATTAATATACTATTTAATTTAATTATCACAAGAATTGTTGCAAATGTCCTCCTCCTTGTGCTAGAATACAGGCTTCAGTTCAATGATTCAACCCTTTCAACAATTCCAGGAGAATGTTGCAAAATAAATGATTAGTTCAAAAATGTTTTTATTTTTAGATAAAGCAATGGCGTACCATATTTTTTGAAAAATCTGCAGTGTACAACCCGTACGAACGCCACTGGTAGAAAAATTAAAAATATTCTACATCAAAAAATGCCTTTAAGAAAACGATTTTTTTCTCAAAATTTCAACATCCTGTAGCTCAAAAGTTAAAAGGTTTTTTTGTACTTTTCTTCCTAAAATGAGCTAAGGAATCATATCCTGTATTTTTAGACATCAATTAAATTACACCCTGTATCATATTATGGGCAATTGGAGACTGTTTGAATCAGGGACAAGTGTATATTTTTTCAAAAATAGGATCCGTGTTTCCAAAACAATTACTGTTGTGCCATGATTACAGATGTCGTAAAATCGTAAAAAAATCAGCAATATTGCATAAATGATAGGCTGTCCCTAGAGAACTAACTGAGTTGTTTGGGGGTCTGTATTTTCAAAACAAAGCGATTTGGAAAATCGGCAATTGTCTTGAAATAATGCATTTACTAGAACGATTGGATGAGCTGTCTAGGAAGTGTTCATCTTATCGATATTGCAGTCTCAGAATCTATTATCAATCAACTTATTTTTTGGTTTGTACGGTGATTTAAAAAACAATTTTCATGAATGCTCACATGGATAAAAGTTTAGGCATATATCCCCTTATTAGAAAGTCATTCAATTATTGTATAACTCATCCCCTTCTGGTAACTATCACCTCGAGCGACATCGTGTCCGAATTATTTGTGCCACAAAATACAATACTTGATTCGACCAATTACAAACACGTTCTACGTTCATCACAGAACCATTACCACTCTGGATGCTGAATTGTGATGCTGGTTGTGATGTGCGGTGTGATGTTGGTGAGGGCTACCGGCCCCACCTTCCGATTGCACGTTCACCGCCTCTTGCTTACCGATCCCGCCTCCCGGAGGCGTGGTCTCGGCGGGCTCGCTGCTCCATTTGCACATTTCCTGGTGGTGGGCGGCGATCTCCATGCAGCTGTCTGTGGTGGGAGGTGGGTGAGGCATTGGGGCGTACTCGCCAACACTGTCTACCGGAGATCTGAAAGCCACCAGAGCGTATTTTACTATCCCTATACGTGTCTAATGAAAATGTTTAATGCTGAAATGCAGAAAACTATAATTTTGATCCGGTTAAACTACATACCTTGTAGAAGATACAGGAGAGGGATGTTGCATATGATTCGATCCCCACATGAGGACAGTTTGTCTAGGCATTTCAGGAGCAGCGGGTGAAAAATGCTGCGGAGTGACGGACTGTCCTTGAGGGGGACTGGATTGCATCCCCATCGAACTACCATCCGATTTGATGTCTTCCATTTTCGGGGTGAGCAGATGGTTGCCGGTAGGCGAAGCTGAGTGGTGGCTACCATCCACCGAAGGATGTTTCGATACCTTTAAATGAAGCTATCAATTAATCAATCGTTATATCAATAGTATACATAACTATGGCTGCAATCATTGGGTGAAAATGATTTACACATATACAGGGTGTCCGCAAAGTTGGGGTTTTCCTTTACACGACGTGTAGATCTTGAAAACATAAGCAATTCTTCTTAGTACCATATACACCAATGTCTTAAGGGAACCGAGATAAAGGGCTCTGCAACATCAAAAATATCTGAATACCGTCCTGTAGCCGCGACATCACCGACTGGTACAAGGTCACTGGCTCAACCCGACGACAGAACTGGGTCGGGGTCAGTGTGTCAGGTCAGTATGCAACCTTCAACCGACGGTTACGGTCACGCGTGTAGAGGTAATCGCGTAGACGAGAATCCCTCAACAAGTACTAGAGACGTGGCTAGGGAAGTGCAAGTATCAAAAACTAAAGTGTGGCAAACGATGCGAGAAGAGGGGCTGTATCCGTTTCACGTCCAACGTGTACAAGCCCTTCAACCTGACGATTTTCCAGCAAGAGTGCGGTTTTGTGAGTGGTTGTTGCATCAACATGACAATAATCCGGACTTTTTGAAGTGCATATTGGTGACAGACGAATCTACGTTCACGCGTAATGGGGTGAATAACTTTCGCAACACTCATGTTTGGTCAGTAGAAAATCCGCATGCTGTCCGTCGGGCACATTTTCAACAAATATTTTCGGTGAATGTTTGGGCTGGCATGGTGAACGGTATGCTCATTGGACCATTTATTCTCCCAAATCGATTGGACGGGATGCAATACCTAGACTTTTTACGCAACATTTTGCCTTCCTTGTTAGAAGATGTGCCATTAAGTATAAGACAATCAATGTGGTTTCTGCTCGGTAGCGCATCAGCTGATTTCATTTTCTGTTGGAGCGGTATGATTTCGGGCAGAGAAGTACTTAGCCCTTCTCGTCAACTGGAGAGTGAGTACTTTTTCCATTATTTTTTTTACTTGGTCGCCCTCGTTTCACTACACATTACCTTTGTTATTTCAAGGGTAGTTGTTTCTGAAAAGGAAAACCCCAACTTTGCGAACACCCTATATTTATTTATTAATATAATGGAAACTTGACTAATAGTGTGCAAAGAAGAACCGCATAAAACGAAAGTAAAAAAAATAGCTAAGGTTACCGAGACAGCACACGTCTTAAAGACGTCCATCTTATGCACCAATAATGTCTTTAGGATGTCCTTAGTGTGACGTTTTTAAGAACATCCTGAAACGACACAAACATCTTTAAGACGTTTTCTTATGTCTTTTAGAAGACGTTTTTAGAATACAGCTTCTTAAAAAGTTAGAAATATTAGTGAACATATAAGAAGCGTCAATCCTGAACATCTAACTAAACTTTAAAATAACATATTTTTTCGTTTGCCCAACCACGATTGAAACTACTTATCACTTCTTTAAGATTCATATATTTTTTAACCAACTTGATTGTTTGAAGCTATGCGAAAGGACAAGTCGTTGAAGTTCTCAGATATCTTTAATTCTGGCTATACACCAATTGTCTTTTTCCTGAATCTTTTAAACTTCGAAATTTAATGCATCATCATGTTTTAACTCATCAATTCGCCACCAGATGACGATGCGTCGGTTAAAGCAAGCACATCTCTATACTACCTCTGCAACATCTCTAGCTCGGGCATCTGTCAATGCTATTTGTCATTTGTCAGTGTTATTTAAGGCGTAGGGCGTAGCGTACGCGGGAAAAGTTCTTGCCTACCTATGGTTTTCCACGTTTTTGCCGTGGAAAATCAAGGAACTTTTTAAGTTACTGCAGTCAAGTGGTATTTTTTAAAAATGTACCTATTTTAGGTATTTCCTATACTTTTTTAACAACCTACGATTTGGTGCTAGTCATTTCAAGGTATTATGTGCAAATACCTTCAAACTGTGCATTATGTATGAAATTGAGCAAGTAGAATAAAAAGTTGGCTGTACTTTTTGACAGTGCAATACTGACCTTAGCGTACTCCTTGTGGTTGATTTCTATTTGGTGGTGTGGGGTACTCATTACTTGGATGGGCTGAATGATGCCAGAACTAGGACTAACTGAATACGGCCAGGAAACATCTAAACACTTAGTTGAGTTTGGTACCACATAACTTCTGGAAATAAAACAATAATGTTTCTTTGCACAGGCAAAATTATTTTGTGGATAGGTACTAGCATACTACCAATAAATGCCGATGCTTACGTGGGGTATTTCGTGTTTTCCACCACTTGTTGACAAGAGTATATTTTATCGTCAACGGTAGGCATGACAGTTGCTCTATAGGTGGCCCCAGGATCGTAGGTTCTTGAGGAAGCGTCCAGGAAACCGTTGCTCACATATCCAGCTGCTGTTGCCGAAGCATGGTAATCCGGGTAGTACGTTCCTAGGGGCCGGTACTGGTGGAAAAGGTTGTCCGTGGTTGCCAGGTACCTGAAACAAAATTAATGTGAAGAGAATATGGTCAAGAAGAACAAACACTTTATTCGTTTATTTATAAGATTTGACTGAAACATATTCAAGTTTCATCTACGAGCGGGTACCAAAAAAACGAATTATTTTTTAAAAGCTTTTCTTCACAAAGCAACCTTATCTCCTTCAAAATCCACTACGTCTAATACACTTGTCCCACCGGTGCTTCCACTGCTCGAAACATTTTTTGGTCTTCCTTAGAAATGTCTGACAGCTTCTCCCTCGTTTTTTTCTTGACCTCTTAAGGAGCTATGTGTTCCGTCGTTATAATTGTAACAAATGTTCTCATCCTCGCGTTCGTTCTAAAATAGCATTTAGGTAGCAACTTAACCGACGTCTCCTGAAGATGACAACATAATTTGTCGAAAGCTCGAGCTTACCATCAAAAGAGTTCACTATGCTTCATGCTTTGCAAATTCCCAATAAACTATTCGCTAGATGTGATCCCTTTTGTATTGTATATTATGTCAGTGTATAATTTATTCGATGCTATACACTTTAGGTTCTAGACCTTAGATATTCGTTAGTAGACGAAAAAAAAGTTTTAGCACCAATGAGTCAAGATCAAAGATCTTTCGGTATTTTAAATACCGGTATAACATTTTCCGACTGTATATGTCATTTGATGCCGAATATGTACTAGTATTAGGTATATTTAGAAATTTTGACATCCGTGTAGCATCGCGAACAAAGTTGAAGGTAAAATACGATTCCTTTTCTTTGTTTTGATTATCTCCATATATGAGAATGTCCACTCGACGTCTGCATTTCCATCTGGCAAATGTGAAAAGTTAAAATTATTAGACATACTTTGGACTTTGGAAATGGAAATACACTTCATGTTTTCATGACTTCACCATGTATACGCTATACGCGTCTCCGTTGAATAAGAATTACCGACCGGTGGTTAACATTGTCGATTGGAAAGCTACCTGTATCCTGTATTTAGATTTGGTTACTAACTAACTGCACTACTTTCCATCATGTCTACCTAAATCCTAAATTGCAAAATTCCGCTACTTTTAACAAAAAACCAATTCCGCCGTTACCACTAGCGGAATTCCGCTACTTCTGACAACGTGAAACGTGACGAATATTCGATTGCAGGTTGTTCCTATGTTTTTGTTTAGATTACATTACACCGGGACAGCGCGTACGCAGTCCCGACTACCAAAAATTACGCGCCCGAGTTATCCGCATTAGGGATAATCGCAGGGGTCAGCCCAATCGTAGTGCAATGAAAGGGCCTCACCCTGGGGGAACCGCCTTTATGATCACGGTAACCCCTACGCCAGGTAAGTATGCTTTTCGTTGCTCGGACAGATGTAGTTGTTGAATTTTGTCAGCCGTGTAGCCGTTACCACTACACCGCGCCCTCTAGTGTTATTAACTATAACTACACTACATAAGGTAGCCTCTGCCTTGTTTCGGGACCACAGCTTCCTATGGCTGACGGCACAGGACTGTGACTCCACCTATCGTCGAAATTCGTAACATCGATGTCTGTTATTCTGTATTTTTGTCTAAAAAATGTTGAGCAATCTCCACATTGATCATGTCTAGCATAGAATGAATGCTATTATGACACATCAAACTTTTCTGTTGCAGCTTTTTATGATTGTATGAAGTGTTATAAGGGTAACACAGTATTGAATTTGATTTCCTTATTAGTTTAAAGGCCGAAACGCAACGAGCTCACATACATAGATGACTTAACCGATATTCTACATCTAGTTTATGAAAATATGAATTCGTTTGTTAATAGTACAGTGGACATGAATCATTAAATTAAATTTAAATTGAAGCAAATTTTGCTTTCTGCTATAGTATAGGCAAATACGCATACACCAAAGACACACACGCCCAGCTATGCAAGCATTTTCAGCGGGATTTGACATGCCCTTATGCCTCAAGTTTCAAGAGATGGCAGCTTAAAACATGGTACGATAAACCAGGACTGAACATCTGTTTATAAATGAAGCTTTTATTCATCATAAATCGCACTTTACTGCCTCTTGTACCAAACTTGCATTCATATTTTTGAAAACCCTTATTTATTTTTTAATTTGCCAATACCGCGATGTTTTATGACCTTGCTCTGGTTTCATCTCGGTGATTTTAGTTTTTCACATATTTGAAACATTTCATCTATCAAGTAGATCCCAGACCAGACCTTGAATTGAAATTTAATTACACAATAGTTGTATTATCCTATAATGGAGGAAACGACAATAGTTAGTATTTAGAAAAGCCTGGTAGGAACCTACCGCGCAGTGTTGCCAGATCAAAAAAATAAAATTCATTAGAAATTGGAATGAAAAACCACCAATTTAAAAAAATCACTAAGAATTTAGAAGTTATTTTTTTAAGCTGTATTACTAGTTGCAAACGAAGAAATACATTTATAATGTGTGGACAAACTTAATAATTAAATAATAAAACACAATTCACTACATATTTCCTGCTACTGTGGCAAAGGCAGTGAAATACTGTTTTATTAGCACCTATCTAAGATATAATTTGAATACAGTTTTGCTGATGTTTTTGTATGATTTTGAACTACTTATTAATGCCCAGATCAGAATTATTATAAAAAACCTATATTTTTACCAACACAATTTTCCAATGTGATGATTATAATTCTTAATACGTCTGTAAAGTAATATGTTAATTAATAACCATCTAATAAATAACCAGAAACTAAAAATAACACATGTAACAGTTTTCTAATAATCCTAAATACAAACGATCTAATTAAACATTTTTTTCAAAAATAATAAGCCTCTCGACATAAAAAATACTGATTACAAAAAAGTCTATACCTACAGTTTACAGAACTTACTATATTAATTTATTTTATATATCTCATCGTTGTGTAGTGATAATATTCTGATAACACATACAGGTTCCAAAAACAGATTCATTATAATTACTAATCTAAAAAATAAAAAGGGATAGATAAATTAATTACTTACCTGCAAATTTTAAAATGCACAAAAAAACTGTATCATACTATCAAAAATATAAATTATAAAAAGCTCTAATATATTATTATCAGATTATGGATAACGTGTTCACGACGAAACGAAATGACGAACACCAAAACAAGAACAATAGAAAATTTAGTAATTGTTGGAGTTTTTTGGTAGCTGAAAGATTGTAAAAAATATATATGAAATTTTAAAAATCGACAGAAATTGCAATTTTTCAAAAAGTTCTTCACCAATCACCAGATTATTCATAAAATCATGATTATTCATAAAATCACCAGATCTGGTGAAATTCCACCAGACCTGACAACACTGCTACCGCGCCCTCATCCAGTCATTGTATAATACTATCAGATGAACACGTTCGCCTTTTTCTCCTTATGAATCGCTACAGTTCACTCCCTCGTTAACAGATGGCAGCATGACATGGCTGGCTTTTACTATCTCGACAAAATGTATAAAAACTATTATTAGACCAGTGTTCGTTACTCTGGTTTCCCTTCAAAGCGAATAAATCTTTCGCCTTTTACTAAAGATTTCCGTGGAGGGGAACAATATAAATGAGTCTATAATAAATTTTTCGTAGCCCGGTCTTCGACTGGGCGTTTTATATAATTCAAACAAAATTATTAATGTAGAAATTCCGTCAGTTATCATCAATAAACAATCATCACGTTTACGTTCATTAGTCAGTGTCAGGTGAGTAGAAAGTTAAAATCACTCAAGGCAGGGGTATTCGGCCAACCTGCCTCTGGATGGGTGGAAGGCAGCTTCGCATCTTGCTTGTCTTGTAAGATATCTGTCAATTCTCAATCACTTCCACATTGAATTTGTATTGACTATTGAGGTTGAGGCCAGCGTTTCCAATGCCAGCCCCATCCGAGAGTCCGACAGATAAACTGTACATAACATAACACATAACATAAGAACATAAGCACGATGCATAAATGTATGTATAACTCAATATTAAATTTGTATTGAGGCTTTTCTATCTTCTGATAATTATGCTACTGATTAATGATTATAACCTAGAATTATTGATATATGGTATACATGTATAGTACTTTAGCTGCTTATTATTTTTGGATTTCCGTAACTTTATATAATGGAAACGTGGTGGAAACGAGTACTTAAAACATAAATATTAACTGCTTATGCATATATTCTACCTCACTTTTGTTGTTTCAATACATTTCACGTGCATGGTGCAAGAACAAGGATTTTCTGTAGGAACTTTCGTTCGTCAGCTGATGAAAGTGATAAGATGCTGACAAATTTTGTCATCGTTACATTAAGAGTCATTCATAATAGACAATCCACCCAAAATGAGTTTTTTTGTCAATATTTCATATTTACGATGGTAGCGTCATCTCTAGAACGAATTTTAGGAATCATATTCACTTGAATTCTACTCATCAGGGTGGGCCGGGGGGGCTTTTGCACAAAAATTACTGAGTTTCTAACTGGCAGAAAAGCGAATCTCACGCGAAAAACAAAAAATGCCAAAGATAGATTATGCGATTATGAGAATTATATGTAAAGAAATAAAATAAATCGTAGTTTTAGATGATCAGATTGTTAAAGAATCGCTAATCTAGGTATTTTGTTTTTGTGAACGGATACTGGATTATATGTCACCGCACCTCTTATTAAATTTCTAATTGTTCTAATCGATTCTACATGAGATTTCCAAGTTAGACTTGCGTCGATTTAACTAACGTCCTTAATATTTTGCTTGATAGGCCCATTAAAAATAATTATTGCGACTGGAAATGACTGCCGTCTTTTAGTGACAGGAATCACTTTAATATATAACCTTGTATTTCTCTCTTGCTGGTAAAATAAATATTTACTGCAACTAGTAGCAAAATCAGCAGTATACCGTAATATACCATGTTGTAAATCAATGTTAAACGTTTGTTATACGCTGCTCCATCTCGTGGTTAATACCTTAAACAACTAGTCTTCCGAGACGAATACTTTTACCCTTGTCAATCGATTAACCATGCGTGAAAAGAGCTACAAGAACTGCCTGGCAGAGGGCACTGTTAGCGCATTGTTGAGATTCCCCTCATAAATTTTAACAACTATTGTGATGGTGGGTTGTTCAGGTATCGCTTCTCGGCCTCTGGCTAAGATCAAAGTGTAGTATCTGTTCTTATCAGCTTAATATCTGATACGCCCCACATGTGGGGCCAGAATATTAAACTGATTTTTGGAAATTGATGGGAGGTTAGGGGCTTGCTCCACTCCCGTCGCGGGTTGGCCCGGTATTGCAGTACCTCCGGGATCGGCCCATTTTTATGAATGCAAACATAATATAGACTTGTACATTACCATGCTTTATAATATCCACTCGCAGCCTCGCGTCTAAATTTAAGTTGGTTTAGTTGATACAAACTGTTGACGGCAAACACTGGCATACAGTGCTTACGAAAAAAGGCAACTTACCCCTAGAGTTTAAGTATATGATAAGGTCATATATTTTGGGGCGAAACGAAGGTGCATACTCAAAGCTCAAAGTATTGCAGCGTAGAGGAAGATGATACTCCGGACATTCCACTAACCGCATCATTAACGAATAAACTTAATGCACCTAAAGTATCAGCTGACTATAACGAGGAAGTTTTAGTGGAAGAAATAGATGAGCTCGAGTATGATGGGCTGAAAAATTTGGCCGGCTTTGTTCCTGAAATTAAACTTATTCCTGGATAGACCATTTTAGTGAGATTGGATTATCAAAACCTGCATCTTTCACGAATCAAATTGAGAAGCTTAATAAGGTGTTTACTACATTCAATGGGGACGGAGTAGTGACAGAAAAGCAAAATTTTATAGGCGAACTCAACAGATTGACGAGCAGCAACAATGACTGCCCTGAAAAAGCTAAGAAACTATTTTTCAGGTCAAGGATGTTCTTTCGGACCAAAGAACTGAATAAAAGCTTGAAAGACCAGAAAAATTGTAAAAGGAAATGGAGAAAAATTGTGGCTCAGACTAAGTCATTTCTATTTATTGTTATATCGCCAGCTTACTTACTTTTTCTACTTTTCGATTTGCGTACATTTTCACACTTGCATGTAGTTAGTACCTAGGATGTTCTGTGAAATAAGGATGAATAAATGTACAGTATATTCAGATAAGAGATAGACCGGATGTAAACAAAAGGTTCGGGTGATTTTCACGCTAACGCCGCCGTCTCGACGTAAAACAGGAGCCCTCATTGGTCAATTCGCAATTAAATGCCTATGCCGAGCGGCAGAGCAGTCGTATCAAGGCAGAGTCACATTCAGGTTCAGACGTGTTACGTATGTCGTGTGCATCATTGCAATTTGATATTTCTTTGGACGTTTTCGTTTGTTATCTTATTATGTTGTTGAGTTTGTCGTTGTTATTGTTATACCTTGTTATTGATTGTTATTGTTATCAACTGCTTGTGCAAAATGCCCAGTAGTACAGATACTGCCGATGAAGTTGTAAACTCCTGTAGTCCACCTAGGAAACGCTCTAAAAAAAGACACCTGAGTGCAGAAATGAAAGAGGTCATTTTGAATATACATATATAAGATCGAGCGCGAGGAGAACGAGGCATCAACCATCAAAGAAATTGTTGTGAAGGTTTCTCACAAAGTTGGGGTGTGTCGCGCATCAGTGTTTAATGTGTTAAGACAATACAAAAAAAATCACACCTTTTCTGAGCCAATGACCAGTAAACATCGCGAAAGTATTGTTAAATCATTGGATGAAGCTGATAAGCATGCGATTAGGAGGAAAGTGCATGATTTCTTTAGGAATGAAATACCTGATATAGATAAAGTACTGCAGGAGGTAAATGGAGATACAACGTTGCCAAATTTCAAACGATCAACTTTCCATGCGTTACTGAAGCATTTAAATTTCAAATGGAAAAAACGGGGTCGTAATATTTTACTACTGGATAGAGAAGAAATTGTGCTATGGAGGAGGGATTATTTAACAAAAATTGGGAAATATAGAAATCAAAACAGGAACATTTATTACCTTGATGAAACGTGGGTAAACGCAGGACACACCACAAGTAAATTATGGGTTGATGATTCTGTAACTTCATCCAGGAGGGCCTTTCTAGATGGACTGTCCACCGGATTAAAAAATCCAGCAGGTAAATACGAGTAATAGACAACAATCGGATGTTTTTCAAACCTTGGGAACAAGGTTCTAAACATTAATTCCAGGGGGCAGATAAAACATATTACAAGTAACAAAACTTTTATAACTTTCGATAAAATGCGTGGATGTTTTATTGTCATTTTCATTTGTTAGAACTTTTTTAAGCCATGTTTTTATGTGTTTTCGATATTTCAATAATTTTTTAATATAATCTTAAAATATGTCGAATATTATAAACTTAAAAAAGTTACTAAGTTTTAAATTGTGTACCGTTCCTAATATTTCTAATCATTTTAATTCATACTTTAAGCTTTATAAAGTTATAATTTGTTAATATTAATATTTGCGCGTATTTCAGGTTCCTGGTCATTCATTTTTTAAAGGTTTATAACTTTAAATTAAATTGTGAAGCGCTGAGTAATCATACGACGTTCAATATTCTTTCTTTCAATATGACTAAATAATCCCAATTATAGCAATCTGATACTCATGTCTCAATGTTTTTTCGCTGAATGTGATGAAAACATTTGAAAAAGGTTCGCTTATTGAAATAAATCTACACCAGTTAGTACTTCGATTTCCAGGTAAAGGGAAAAGGCTCATTATCTGTCATATTGGCAGTGAGGATGGATTTGTTGTTGACGGTCTGTGGTGCTTTGAGTCTAAGAAACTGGAGATTACCACGAGGAAATGAATGGCGAATCGTTTGAACAGTGGTTTTCAAAAATTTTACCGAACTTAGAGGAAAACGCAGTAATTGTGTTGGATAATGCGCCTTATCATTCTCGAAGAATGGAGAAGGTCCCAACAACGGCTTCAAGGAAAGTTGATGTTCAAAATTGGCTCCGCTCGAAAAATATCAACTTTGAAGAAGCAATGCTGAAAGTACAATTATTGAGAATTGTAAAGGATCACAAGGCGGAATATCAAAAATACGCCATTGACGAAATGGCAGCAAGTCAAAATAAAACTGTGCTCCGTTTACCTCCATACCATTGCGAGCTCAATCCCATTGAGCTCATATGGGCAGAGGTTAAAAATTATATAGCTAAGCACAATACAACTTTTAAATTTTGTGACCTCAAAGGACTTTTCAAAGAAGCACTAAAATTAATAACAGCGCAAAAATGGGAAAACTGTATTAAGCACGTGAAAGACAAAGTTGAACAGAGAATGTGGGAACTGGACAATATTTTAGAGGAACAAGTCGAGCCATACATTATTGACGTTGGTGCTTCAGGCAGTAGCGATGATGAAAGCTCATCAAGCTCATCTTTCCAATAAAAGATGTCGTTCATCAAATTCGGTAAGTTATAAGTAATTATAAAGCTACTGTATTTTTTAATTAATTATTGACATTTTTGAACCCATTTTGGCAAAACCTATTCAAGAATCTACTTTCTGACGATGTTCAACCATGCACATTTTTTTACGTTTTGAACGTTTTAATTTGGTTACATATTTACCTAGAAATCAAAAAATATACTAATCAATATTCTAAAAGCAATTTGAAGAGATATACGATTATTTTTAATTTAGGCTAATTTAAACGCCATTTTGAGATTATATTCCACTGTATTTCACCAAACATCCGAAGCTGGAAATCGAAGCGAAAATTTTGAAACCCTTATGTATATTTACATCATTATATATTTCTTACCCCACCCCCACATGATCCTATATTCATCACCAATCGTATACACATCGAATTGTGCTAATTTACTACAAAGTTACGCAAAGCAGCATCTACTATCTAAAATATGTACTGCGTGACTCTTAATACGTCCCTGCCGAATGTTACAGCGTTCGATGATCACGTGGTCTTGTTTATGTTCGGTCTATCTCTTAACTGAATATACTGTAGTATCTGATTTTTTAAAATCGATTTCGTTGTACTTACCGGTTATCCAGTGCCGTAGCCGTAGGCGGGTACAGCGTGTGCTGGAAGTTCGAATGCCCCATGTAGCCCATCGTGTGGTCAGCCGCAGCTGGATAAGGCGAGGTATACATGTTGTACGCGGCGGCTGCCGCAGCTGCCGAGCATCCGTCGGTGGTGATGTAGTCCACAGCCGCTGTCGCCATTGGGGAAACCACTGATGGAGCGCCTATCGTCGGATTGGCCGGAGGCGTCACCTGTTTCACAATGCCGGGTGACAGTGAAAATTGGAAACACGTTGTAGTTTTTTTTTTGGCAAATAAAGATATCGCTCCAAGATTGGGACATGTTTAGTTGGTCATTAAGAGGCATTTCTGGAAAGTTGAATTGGTTATTTCTGCTCGTTTTTCAAACGTAAACCAGTATATTTTCTACCATATTCGCACTCTATGCAAAATTCCCTTTCCAACGATGTGTCACAATTGACATTTTCGTTTTAAAATAGGAATTTATTAATAACCTAAAATCCGCCAAATTGCTTACAAGACAAACAAATATTTCAAACTTGTTCAAATATTACTTAGCGACGTGTTTTTTCGATTTTTTTTCGGAAAAATCAGATGCCCTTATGATATTACTTATGAAAATTTTCTCCTTGTCTAGGTAAGGGGAAATTTTCGCTGTCAATTTGGCATAATTCCAGACCTCTTTGGCATTTTTTATACACGAAGGAAATATTCATAAGTACAGCAGACGCTCGATAACGTAAACAATGTGTACGCTCGATAACGTAAACAACTCTCGGCGCACGGAAACAGCGCGACGGTGAAATGCTGAAGCCTCGATGATTTATGTCTGGCGTCGGGGAGTCCCCGATTTATGATGTAGAGTGTAGGGGATTCACCTCTGCGATAAAATACGACAAATTCGGTCAGTCGTATGATCGTTTAGGATACGTTTATACGTACGTATGTATTTCATTTTTGAACTTAAGTGAATACATTGCACGCGTTGATATATTTTACGACTATGGCATCCACATCCCATAAAATAAAGTGTTTAAAGTTGAGTGAGAAAGTTTAAAATCATAGACGAAGTTGCACTAGGTGCGGGAGTGACACAGTTAGCAAAAAAATATGGAGTATTGAAAGCAACAATCTGTAAAATTAAGCGTATGAAAACTCAAATTTTACAAAGAACGTGCAATACATTTTAGGTCCGGGAAAAAGAAAAACTTTAAAAAATGCGAAGGCACCTAAAATGGAAAATTCCCTGTATAAGTGGTTTTTAAAACAACGGGAAAATCATGTCCCAGTTAGTGGCGAAGTACTTAAACAGAGAACGAGACTGTTAAATGAAAAACTGAAAGAAACTGAAAATGTCGTAGCTAGTGATGGCTGGCTACAGCGATTCAAAACAAGATATGGAATTCGACTGCTGTCTATATCTGGTGAAAAATTATCAGCACAACCACAATTAGTGCAACCATTCAAAGAGAAATTGATGTAAACAATTACCGAGCTAGCTTTAAGAATGGAACAAATTTACAACGCAGATGAAAGTGGCATTTATTGGAAAATGTTACCAGAGAAAACCTATGCTGCATCATTTGAAAAATCTGGCCCGGGAAGAAAGCCGGAGAAACAACGAATAACGTTTCTAGCCTGCACTAATGCTAATGATTCACACAAAATAAAGCCACTGGTAATTGGGAAAGCAAAAAAACCGCGCTCATTTAAAAATGTTAATATCCCTGTTGATTATGACTGTTCAAAAACCGCTTGGATGACTAGCAGTATATTCCTGAAATGGTTCCACAGGTGCTTTGTCCCTCAGGCAAGACAATCAATTATCACAAATGCTCTATTCATAATTTGAAGATGTGTTTTCAATTTGTAGATAAAAGGTTTCCTAAAACAGCAGAAGCTTCCAATAAAAGCGTTGTTACTATTGGATAATGCGCCAAGTCATCCTCCCGAGCAACAACTGAGGAGCAGGGATGGGTCAATTTTCGTCATGTACATGCCGCCCAACGTAACACCGTTAATTCAACCGATGGACCAGAATATAATAAGACTCACCAAACTATACTATAGGAACTTTCTACTTTCGTCTGTCTTATCAAAGAATCCTGAAAACTTATCTGAGGCTTTAAAAAAAAGTAACATTACGAGAAGCTGTTTTAGATTTACGTATGGCCTGGAATGAACTTAACCAGCAAACTATTCAAAAATGTTGGAACATTTTGTACCAATAATGAAGATGATGAAGAAGACGATGTTCCCTTAAGCGTAATCAGAGAACGTTTGCGATCCAATAATGATAATGTTATTAGTGTGTCATTGGATGTTGTTGATTTATTGAAAACAGTGAATCCCAATATTGTTTGTACTCCTGCTGATATTAATTTATGGAATGAAGATAAGCAGACGAATGATGCTGATAAGGAGGAGGATATGGACAGTGATGATGATGACGATCCCATTGAAGTCAGAAGTGTAGTGACTGACGCGTAAGCTATACAAGTTTTTAACCAAGCTTTAGCTTGGGCGGAAAGAAAAGAAGTTTCATACACGGATATTTTAGCTCTTCGTAAATTACGGGCGCAGGCATTGGAAGACAATGCTAAGCGCAAATTTACGCAGACAAAAATTGTTAATTATTTTTCTTCTAATTAAAAAAATACTTATCGCTGTTAGAATATTTGTTTATTTTGTTATAAATAGTATGTATTAAACGTTTCTTTTAATAAATCAAATATTATATAAATCACGTTCTCTAATGTAAACATTTCGATAACGTGAACCACACTTGGATTAAATTAGTTTACATTATCGAGCGTCTGCTGTAATACAATTACGGCACTTAATTTTTCTGGAAAAAAAAAATCGGAAAAACACGTTGCTATGTAATAAAATGTTTGGTGCATCATTTGCCAAATTGAAACGGCAGACAGGGGAGGTCTTTTTCTATCACCCCAGGTCCCTCAAACAGTTTTTAGCCCAACGGCATCAATTATGTAGATTTTTTATTTTTTTTTTAGTAAAAACTCCAAAATGTAATACACAAAGTGAAATAAAAAAAAAGTAAAGAGTATGTCCACTTAATGATTAATTTATTTCAATAGGTAAAGTTGTACCAATCTTACTAAATCAACATTACTTGCCAGCAGCATGTAGTTTTTTATTTATAAACTCACAAAGGGTTACAAAGAAGAACAAAAAAATGTAAGTCTCAACATTGAATTTCACAAAATGTTGCGAAAAATTTCCCCAAAATTTTGTCACTAGGTACACTTCTGACATTTTGCGTACTTACTCTATAATTCAAATCGAAATTAACCATCATTATAACTCGTTTTTTTAATCAAGTTCTTTTCTGCCGATATGTGAACATAATTTATAATGTTTCAACGTACTATTGCTAAACTGTCAGAAGTAAATTCGGAAGACATTTCGAATTACAGTGGACCTCCGGTAATCCGACAAACATTATGCAGGGCAGTGTCGGACCATCGAATTTGTCGGATTATAGAGCACTGCCTAGTCCGGAATTTTTTACAAAACAGTTCCTTGTAATCCGACAAATTACATATATAGTAAGATTATATATGTTATGTATATGTATGTACCTTGAAGCAGAAATCATACATAGTTTATGTATGTCGAATTTAGTAAATTAAATAACAATAGAGAGCTTACGTTTTATTATAAAATTAAGCATAAATGCACATACATACGTACCAAAATAATCAAGAATTATTAATCAAAATCATTAATGAGTTTATCAAATTATGAAGCTTGGAAATATTCATCATTTTTTGTTTGTTTAAGGTTGTTATAACCCGAGATCAGAGCGTTGTCCCTCAGTCTTCTCAAAAGTAAAAGTTCGTTGTATGTTGTACCATCCTCTTCAGCCCATTGTAAACCTAGCTCAAAGGCGTTAATTGCGTCTTGTGCTGTGACTTGTGGAGCAGTTGCAATCACGTCGTCGTTATTTTCCTGATTGTTTGTTGTATAATTAGAAACCTCTTTTATAATCTCTTCGTCAGACATTTCTTGAAAAACATTTTCCGCTTTATCCATTCCACGGCACCAGATTGCCAAATCTTCCGGACTTATCTGTGTTTCAGTAGCGACTTGTTCTATAACTTCCGAAGTAACACTGATTTGTGAAACGTTGCTAGGAGTGGTGACTATATCTGGCCAAAACTTTTTCCAAGACGATTTAATAGTTGATGACGGTAACGCATTCCACGACTGACAAAGAGCAAAAACCAAGTCTTTCATATTAAATTCTTTTAAAGTTTTTTTCTATTGGTTGGTGTTTTGATACGGCTCTCAGAAGTAGGTTTTTCTTATAGTCTTGCTTGACAAACTGAATGATATTCTGATCCATTGGTTGAATCAGTGCAGTGCAATTTGGCTGAAGAAACATCGCAGTGATGCATTTATCCTCAGTTGTTAGTTCTTTTTCAATCGGATGACCGGGAGCGTTATCAAGAAGCAACAACGCTTTTTGAGGAAAATTATGGTCTTTTAACCATTTTCTAACTTCAGGTACGAAGCTTTCATCAAACCACTTTGTGAAAAGGTCTTCTGTCATCCATGCACTTTTTTGTCCGTAATAGTGTACAGGTAAATCAATGTTTTGGAATGCCCGTGGTTTATTACATTTCCCAATGACCATCACCTTAAGCGCGTGTGTGCCCGCAGCATTAGCACATGGTAGTATGGTTACACGCTCTTTATTTACTTTTCGTCCAGGTAAGGATTTTTCGTTACAAGAAACGAAAACTTTGTTAGGCATCACACGCCAAAAAAGCCCTGATTCGTCTGCATTGTACACCTGTGATGGGTCAAGATTTAAATCGTTCACCTTTTGCAAAAATCTTAATTTAAAGGGCTCTATGCAGGTGGCATCGTTAGAAAGTTTCTCTCCTGCAATAGTCATCAAACGTATACCATGACGACTTTTAAAACGTTCTAGCCATCCTTTGATGGCCACAAAATCAGCTTTTTTTGTTATTTCCTTATAAAAAAACTTAGCTTTCATGGCCAACATGGGTCCTGAAATTGGTGCATGCCTATTTCTTTCCTGAAGAAACCACATGTACAAAGCTTCTTCCACTTCTGGATGTTCAGCTTTCTTGAGTGTCTGACTCTTGCCTGGCCCGCAGTCAGTAGTTGACACGAACTCTTGATCTTCTCGTGGTTTCTTTTAATGTCATAAATTGTAGATCGGCCTACGCCGTATTCACTTGCTGAACTACTGAAAGTTTCATTGCGATTTAAGCGGTCTAAAATATCACATTTTTCTTTAATTGTCAATGTTTTGTGCTTTCGCATCTGAGTCTGTGATGACATTACTAGGTACTATACTTTATACACAATGAATAAATAGTAAACAATGCTTACGCGTCGAGCACGATAGCGGTGGCGCGTACAAGTTGTAACCTGTTCAAACCTGCGTGATCTACATTAGCGAAGATTGTCAAATACGTATGTATGTAATATTCAAAGACATGTCGGATTACAGGCGGCGATGGATTAGACAGGTGCCGGATTATCGGGGGTCCGCTGAAATAAACTGACTGACCTGTCCACTGCTCGTTGCTAATTTACGCTTCGTCCTGCACGTCGATAGGAAGTCCCTCAATTGCGTCTTGTACCGCCTGTTGACCCTGGTCGGCGTGGAGGAAATGTTGGAGTGCGCGGAGGAAGTCGTGTTGGAAAGGAGCTCGTTCTCGGAGAAGTAGTTATTTGGAAGACCCGCGTCCAAGTAGCTGACCTTGAAGTCCATCGTGCGCTTGCCAAGGAGGTCGCGACCCTCCTCTTCCCTAAGGGACGAAACAGTGTCAAAGTGAATCTGTACGAAAAGGCTCCAGGTTGTACATACAAATTTTCTACGAAGGTATTTCTAGGTTTCCGCTGTTCCATATCAGCGTCAGCCCTCTCCTATTGTGAGGTTATGTTTTATTTTTGGATCTTAAGACATTTCAGGCTGATGAATCAGATGATGAAAATCAAGTTTCATCAACCCGAGATTTCGTAGAATTCAAAAGCGAAATATAACCTCAAAATAGAACGCTGACATGCACAGAAATCTAGAAATACCTCTGCCTTTCTGAAGGATAGGAAAAACTATGAAAATTGTAATAGAAAATAGTAGTGGTGGCCTTAATGTTAACGATGCATTCCAGAGCCAAATTTAAGTAGAACAGTTCATATAAAAATATGTCCTGAAAAGACTGGTTTTCAAAATACCCAAGTTTCAAAAAAAAAGTCTATTTTTTTATTAAAAATTCAAACATCCTTGTGCTGATTATGTTCAATTTTGGCAGTGTTGCTATAAGACGTTAAGTTGGTAGTAAATAAAAGATAATTGCGAATGCCAGTAGCGACTCGGGGGGCAATCTCAGGAATTATGGAAACATCGCAAGATCCACTTTTTCAGCAGGACAGTACACGTCCTCATGTCTCACGTGTTTAGACTTTTTAGCGTCCGGAGTGGCTTGCTCGATCTCCAGACCTTTCCCCCACCGAACAGATGTGTATATAGGGCATGATGGGAAGAAGGTTGCAAAATTTACCGCACCATCCACAAACATCAGAAAGAGATCAATCACAATCAATGTGTCAACACATTATTAACATTATGGTGGGATAGCTCAGCTATTTTGCGAAATTTCGTATATTATTATTGCAATTTTGTAAACGAAAATCAATATTTCCTCTTGTATAACACTGATCAACAGCCAAAAAATATCCTAAATAAAATCAACAAAATATTACTATTTTTAATGTGCTACAACCGGAATGAAACTTATTTTTTCAATATTAGTTCAAGTTTTAGAGATACGGTAATTATATGTGTTCCTGCTGTGACAGTGTTAATATACTGTAATTCACAAGAATGCAGGTGCTACATTTTTATATTCGGCATGATTGTGTTACGTTATACATACGTGTACATTATATTGTTTTATATTAGCCATTTATTCCTCAGTTGGCTGACAGCGTTCATGCAAGATGTCTCGAAAGTGTGTAAACAATCCAGATCAGTTTTGTTACGTGTGTGGTAATGTGACTTTTGCGTCTCAGAGACGGTCTATTACTCCACTAATAACAAAGGCATATCAGCTTTATTTCGGTTCTAAACTAGGTGATCAAGACAAACAGTGGGCACCCCACATCTGCTGTAATACATGTGCTTCAAGTCTGAGGAGCTGGTTAAATGGCAAAAAACGGTCTATGCGCTTTGCTGTCCCAATGGTTTGGAGAGAGCCTACAAATCATATTAATGATTGTTACTTTTGCATGGTACCTTGTGTTGGACAAGCCATAGGTATGTCCAAGAAACAAAAATCGGTTATTAACTACCCAAACATACCATCTGCGATGAGACCTGTGCCTCACAGTGACGAAAATCCTATTCCAAAACCCCCAGAATCCTACACTTGCGAATCAGAAAACGAATCAGATCATGGCGATCGAGTGATTCGTCAGGAAGAAGATATGCCATCAACGTCAAGAGATCCTGATTTTATACCGAGCACGTCATGCCACCAACCGCACAAAATAACACAGTCAGAATTAAATGATCTTGTAAGAGATTTAAAACTTCCAAAATGTAAGGCAGAGTTACTTGGATCAAGACTGCAGCAGTGGAACTTGTCAGAAGACGATGTTTCGGTATGTGTTTTTCGTAAACGCCACAAAGACTTAGAACCATTTTTCAATATGGAGAATAACTTGGTTTTCTGCAGTAACATTAACGGCTTACTGGCGGCATTAAATATAAACTATAACCCAGAAGAATGGAGATTGTTTATAGACAGTTCAACATTGAGTTTACCATCTCTTCCTATAGGGTATGCAGTTCACATGAAAGAATCATATGACAATATGAAGTACCTATTGACATGCATAAAATACGATGAGCACCAATGGCATATTTGTGGCGATTTCAAAGTTGTTGCACTTTTACTTGGGCTGCAGCTAGGCTACACAAAGTTTTGCTGTTTTTTGTGTGAATGGGACAGTCGGGCAAAGGCACATCATTACACCAGACAAAACTGGCCTGCTCGTCAATTCCTAGAGCCAGGTCAAAAAAATGTACAGCATATGCCATTAGTAGATTCGAAAAAAATTTATTACCACCACTGCATATCAAGTTGGGCCTAATGAAAAACTTTGTCAAGGCATTAGATAGAGATGGGTCAGCTTTTCAATACCTGCGTCAGAAATTTCCAAGACTAAGTGAGGCAAAGTTTAAAGAAGGTATTTTTGTTGGGCCACAGATTCGAAATATTTTGAAAGATACACAGTTTGAAAACACTTTAACAGGTATTGAAAAAACTGCTTGGAATGATTTCCGTCTGGTAGTCACTAACTTCTTGGGAAATAGAAAAGCTGACAACTATAAAACCCTTGTCAAAAATATGCTGTCATCGTATCAAAAGATGAGCTGTAATATGACTCTTAAGATACATTTCCTACACTCACACCTGGACTTTTTTCCTGACAATTGCGGAGCCGTAAGTGATGAGCACGGCGAACGTTTTCATCAGGATATTTCAACGATGGAAAAAGGTACCAGGGAAAGCGGAATCCTTCCATGCTTGCAGACTACTGTTGGACTCTTGGTAGAGATGCTCCAGAAACGATCCATAAAAGAACAGCAAAAAGACAGCGCATATAGTGATTCTTATAAGTATATGAATCTTGTTACCTTTTTAATATATCCTTAAAAATAAAAAGTTTTTTTTCTAAACCGCAACTAATTTTTTTATTTCATTGTCATTTTTGGATTCAGCACCCCAAAATTAACAAAGAAGTGCACTTTTCCCACAAGATACAATTAAAAAACTAAAATTTGTTGTCCAGTGTAATCGTTGTGGTAATAATTATTCAGTCCTATGCAATGTTCTAAAAGTTGTGACAAAAGATGATTTTTTATTTCAAGTATGAAAAATTGGCTTCGTCATTTGTAACTGTAGTGTAGTTGTTACAATTGATTGAGTTGAATTGAATTATTTTATAAAATGTTGCTGGAATTCAGTTGGTAACACTTAAAATTTTGAGTTCTGTGATTCATGAACAGCTGAAAATAAGATTGAATTGAATACAATGCTAAAACTAAAAAACCAAAAGAGGCACAGTCTATTTTGCTAATTAACTAGCATCATTCATTGACTGTGTCGGACAAGTTAAATATTTCATTATCCGTCTTAAAAGGTGTTGCTATTAATAGAATACTACAAAGTTGGAATAATTGAGTACGGCATTCGATTTAGATAAATTACCCTGAAAGCCCGTAACAACTGAATATAGAACTTTTTTATTCTTACATATGAAAAGGTCTTTACCATAGTATCTACAATTTAACGGGGCTTCTACAATCACGAGCACCATCTGCTGAGGTAACGGGGGGTGAAAAGGAAACGAGGGTGGGCTGGCCCTAGACGCTTGTCGACGCTACTTAGGAAAGGATGACTGCGGGTGCATGTCAGGGTAAATTTTTATAACAACAGAGTCGGATTTCGATTAGCGATCTAGCCTGTAAATCGTTTCCTATTTTGGTACTCAGCAAGTGATCATTTAGAATTTTTCTCCCGTTGTTACTGTTCGTCGATATTGTGTTGTTGAATTGTTGTTGGTGTGATTGTCCTTGAGTGCCTTTTTTTATCAAGGTGGATAATGGACAATAAAAGGTTATATGCGACCGCTTTAATTACGAATGCAGTGAGTTTAATTCATGATGAGGTCAACAATAGTGTGGAGCAGTTCAACTCTATAATCGCAAAATACATTGGGGAGTAAGCGAATAAATTATTGCAAGAAGAGGCCGTACCATGGAAGATGTGCTGCAGCTGTACTGAGCCACAATACCCAGCGGCCTGTCTATGTGGCCCAAATATATTTGCGTTCTAAGCTTAGTCCAACATCGCTTATCGCTAAGATGGAACAAAGACTCGAACGCAAGAATCTTGGAAAGAAACTCTGACCAAAAAAAGCTGATATAAAAATAACTAACAATTCGGATAGCAATTCCAAAGAAAATGGCGCCATTTTATGGCGAATTCTGTCCTGACATGATTTGGAGGTTGCTAATCAAGAATTTTTAGGGAAACTTAGAAAAAGTGACGAAGAGATTTTGCAAATAGAACAAGTCATCAAATCACAGAACTGTACTTTGTGGCGCCTTCATCGGAGGATAAGGTTGACAGCGTCTGGATGTGGTGAAACTTAGAGCAGGTACCGATTGTTTCAAATCGTGAGCAAATTATTCGTCGGACTTTCGTTACCTAAATTTCCTGTAATCACTGGGATCAGAAGCTTCTTAATAATAGAACGTGTTTCACTGATATCAAAGATGCAACATTTAGAGCCACCTTTCCCCAACCCCCACTTTTTAAGCAGTACAATTTTTTTATGTCAAAGAGGAACCCCTGAACGTCAAAAACGGAGTTTCGGCAATTGTTACTTTTTCTTTTTTGCCTATAGCACCGTTGCCACTGGACTAAAACTACAAAGCTTTGGCATACTAGTAACCCCGTGTGGAAATTTCATAAAAATCCGAGCGCTAATTTCCAAGTTGATGATGAGTGATATAGTTTTTCGTGATGTAGATGTCATATGACTTACAAAAAGTATCAGCGATCGCGATGAGTACCTATTTGCAGAACGACAAATTACACTGGACAACAAATTTTAGTTTTTTAATTGTATCTTGTGGGAAAAGTGCACTTCTTTGTTAATTTTGGGGTGCTGAATCCAAAAATGACAATGAAATAAAAAAATTAGTTGCGGTTTAGAAAAAAAACTTTTTATTTTTAAGGATATATTAAAAAAGTAACAAGATTCATATACTTATAAGAATCACTATATGCGCTGTCTTTTTGCTGTTCTTTTATGGATCGTTTCTGGAGCATCTCTACCAAGAGTCCAACAGTAGTCTGCAAGCATGGAAGGATTCCGCTTTCCCTGGTACCTTTTTCCATCGTTGAAATATCCTGACGAAAACTTTCGCCGGGCTCATCACTTACGGCTCCGCAATTGTCAAGAAAAAAGTCCAGGTGTGAGTGTAGGAAATGTATCTTAAGAGACATATTACAGCCCATCTTTTGATACGATGACAGCATATTTTTGACAAGGGTTTTATAGTTGTCAGCTTTTCTATTTCCCAAAAAATTAGTGACCACCAGACGGAAATCATTCCAAGCAGTTTTTTTAATACCTCTTAAAGTGTTTTCAAACTGTGTATCTTTCAAAATATTTCGAATCTGTGGCCCAACAAAAATACCTTCTTTAACCTTTGCCTCACTTAGTCTTGGAAATTTCTGACGCAGGTATTGAAAAGCTGACCCATCTCTATCTAATGCCTTGACAAAGTTTTTCATTAGGATCAACTTGATATGCAGTGGTGGTAATAAATTTTTTTTCGAATCTACTAATGGCATATGCTGTACATTTTTTGACCTGGCTCTAGGAATTGACGAACAGGCCAGTTTTGTCTGGTGTAATGAAGTGCCTTTGCCCGACTGTCCCATTCACACAAAAAACAGCAAAACTTTGTGTAGCCTAGCTGCAGCCCAAGTAAAAGTGCAACAACTTTCAAATCGCCACAAATATGCCATTGGTGCACGTCGTATTTTATGCATGTCAATAGGTACTTCATATTGTCATATGATTCTTTCATGTGAACTGCATACCCTACAGGAAGAGATGGTAAAATATTTCCAATATGCAATAACACTGCCTTTAAACTCAATGTTGAACTGTCTATAAACAATCTCCATTCTTCTGGGTTATAGTTTATATTTAAAGCCGCCAGTAAGCCGTTAATGTTACTGCAGAAAACCAAGTTATTCTCCATATTGAAAAATGGTTCTAAGTCTTTGTGGCGTTTACGAAAAACACATACCGAAACATCGTCTTCTAACAAGTTCCACTGCTGCAGTCTTGATCCAAGTAACTCTGCCTTACATTTTGGAAGTTCTAAATCTCTTACAAGATCATTTAATTCTGACTGTGTTATTTTGTGCGGTTGGTGGCATGACGTGCTCGGAATAAAATCAGGATCTCTTGACGTTGATGGCATATCTTCTTCCTGACGAATCACTCGATCGCCATGATCTGATTCATTTTCTGATTGTGAAGTGTAGGATTCTGGTGGTTTTGGAATAGGATTTTCGTCACTGTGAGGCACAGGTCTCATCGCAGATGGTATGTTTGGGTAGTTAATAACCGATTTGTTTTCTTGGACATACCTGTGGCTTGTCCAACACAAGGTACCATGCAAAAGTAACAATCATAAATATGATTTGTAGGCTCTCTCCAAACCATTGGGACAGCAAAGCGCATAGACCGTTTTTTGCCATTTAACCAGCTCCTCACACTTGAAGCACATGTATTACAGCAGATGTGGGGTGTCCACTGTTTGTCTTGATCACCTAGTTTACAACCGAAATAAAGCTGATATGCCTTTGTTATTAGTGGAGTAATAGACCGTCTCTGAGACGCAAAAGTCACATCACCACACACGTAACAAAACTGATCTGGATTGTTTACAGACATCTTGCATGAACGCTGTCAGCCAACTGAGGAAAAAATGGCTAATATAAAACAATATAATGTACACGTATGTATAACGTAACACAATCATGCCGATTACATCATTTTTCTTTGCCGAATATAAAAATGTAGCACGTACATTCTTGTGAATTACAGAAGAATTAACACTGTCACAGCGGGAACACATATAATTACCGTATCTCTAAAACTTGAACTAATATTGAAAAAATAAGTTTCATTCCGGTTTTAGCACATTAAAGATAGTAATATTTTGTTGATTTTATTTAGGATATTTTTTGGCTGTTGATCAGTGTTATCTGAATACGTCCTTTCTTAGTCCGTACATTGCGCCGCAATGCTTGGGTTGGCAGCACGAAACAGTAGACAAAATTCGTCCAAAATACGATTTGTAGAGGTTTGCGCGCTTCGAAATTGACGCTTTACTTTTTGATATTTTTGAATCAAATTTTCATAGTGTGCTGAAAACAAAATCCCACAAGGTGCTATAGAGCCACTTTTTCATTTTTTTCACTAGATTCTTTTTAAAAAAACCGCGAAGTTGAACAGAAAAAGTGCGCACTTCAACCGATCATAAAACTTGTGCAAAAACAAAATTTCAAAAAGTGCTCCTATAGCACCCTGGGCAATTCTCTTCTGAACATACCGTATGAATATCATTCGAAAATATTGAAAAATGGAGTGTCAGTTCCGAAGCAGCTGAACCCTTGTAAATGGCTTGAAACTCACTGCACCGGAGCCGCCTTAACTGTGTCCGATTAAGTACGTAACACGAAACAAGTGCCTCAGTCTGTATACAAGATTACAGGCTTAGGTCAGGATTTAACCAAGGATGTAAAAGTTGGGATAATACTTACATAAGAGGTCGATGTGTGCTTATGACAAAGTCAGGTTTCGAATTTTTGTACACTAATCTCGAACTAGTCTGCAACCATTGCCACTGGCCCTCTTTGGTTTGGAATCTATACGCTATCATTCCTGATGCTCCCGTTTTCAGCACTGAAAATTTAAGATACTAAGATATTTTTGTGGCCGATATGCAACTGACTGGTTTGTATCTCGAATATTTGCGGAATGAGGTCCATTTTTTTCATCTTAATCTTTTTTTGAAACCTAGAAATTATGTATGGAAATAATATCAGACAAATGTCCGTGCAAACATGAGCCCTCTTGATTACATTTTCCAGCATTCTTTGGTGGGTTTCTGCAGGGATATATTCAATCGCTTCCGTAATATCGTTCTTTAGCTTCTCTACAGTATTTGGTTTGTTGGCCTATTTTTTCAAAAATCGACAAAAAAGTGGGCTTCATCGCTCATTATCGGATGACAGTAAAAATCGTTATTTTGGGTATTAACCTGCAATATTGCATGACTGTATTGTTGGAATCTTTCATGGCCACTAGGCTGTAGATCTTGTCAACAGAATTTTGGATGGCCGCAAACGCAAGTATTTTTTAAAATAGTGTATAACTACGTGCGGCGAATACCCAGTTCTTGAGAACGATGTCTGGTAGACGTTTCAGGGCGCTCCACTATACTTTCACGAACTCTCTCGATATTTTCCGGAGTACGAACAGTGCGACCCTGGCAGGTCTTCAACTTCACCTGTTGTAGCTTCCATTATTTAAGTAAAACGTTCTAACAATACGTACACGTTGTGGGATCGTTTAGAGCTCCATGATGAATTGGACACATGGGCTTTGAACAACTACTACTTGCGCGCAATTTAAATCAGTCAGTTATATATTAGCCACTCTGTACAAGGTTTTTGATACCTTTGGTTTATATCAAAATATTAAAATTATCTACTATGGTTTTTTATTCATAATATACAATACACATTCGATAAAAGTTTCCTATGATTAATAATTAAACATATTACTTACATTCCTGGTGAGCACTTGCAACGTACGCCAAATCATCATAATGAACTAGGTCATATCCACCCATACTTGCTAGTTCTGAATCTGAATATCCTAATAACATTTTCCCCCTGTAAAATGTAAATAATTGTTATTAACACGTTCGCGGACACTCTATGTGGCTAGTGTGTGCCTAATGAGGCGCTGACGCTATAAGCCGCACTAGTCAGTGTGCCTATTGGGACAGTGACGGCACTTGCCGTCAACTACATATAGTGCTCTAACTTCATTTTGCTGTACATCACGTCAATTCTGCGTATATTAGGAGGTTTGGTGTCCCGCTGGACACCTACTATCCAAATAATAAGTGTAGTAGATTTTTTTTAACAGGGGGAGAGGTACATCTTCGGACATCGGTAGTCATACGTATACGTGTTGGCAGTATGAGTCTGTTCGTTATCGAGAGCAGATGTATGCATTCGAGCTACAGCAAAATGGACGATAAATATAGTGGATGCTCTGGTATGAAGAGTGTGAGAGCGAAGATGAAAGCAGACATGATCCATATAGTACAGATGACTCCATTGCTGATCCAGAATATATGCAACAGGACTCAGACTCTTGTACTGATTCAGAATACGAGAATATTCCAAACAATGATGAGCGTAAGTTGATGGGCATTTTTCCCATACACATTAGTTACGTTTGTTTGTAAATTTTATCTGGAACATCACGAAAAAAGCGTAAACGGAAAGAACCTAAATCAAAAGTTGATTTGCCATCAGGACATGTCGATAGCGAGGGCTCTGATGATATCGATGTTCTATTAGATCCAGACAACGATGAACAAAAATGGGAAGATAAAATAATCGATTGTTTAGAGTTTTCCTTTGATTCCATATCAGTTGGTGTGAAAGAACAGCTAGCAGGCAAGCCTCCAATTGAGATTTTTGAAAAAATTTGGACTGTTGATGTGACTAATTACATTGTTCAAAAGTCAAATAAATATGGTGAATTATTATTTGTGGGCAATAGGCCTAAGTCCAGAAACGAGCGATTCAAGACATTTCAACATATTTCCGTAAAAGAAATGAAAAGTTTTCTCGGTTTGTGTCTCCTTGCTGGCCAGTTGAAGTTCAAGTCTATTAGGGACATGTTTTCAATGGATCCTCTCAATTATCATCCGGTATTCCCGGCTACTATGTCAGGTAGACGATTTGAACAGATTCTGAGGTGCTTGAATTGTGCAGATGATGAAAATAAGGAGGATAATCTCTATAAAGTTAGTTGGCTTGTGAAATCTATCATTAAGTCAAGCCAAAATATGTTTTCTCCGCTAGAAGCCTTATCTCTAGATGAATCACTGTTACTTTTCCGAGGCCGATTACGGTTTCGGGTTTACATAAAAAATAAAAAAAGTAAATATGGGATTAAGTTCTATGAGCTGTGTTCCAATGACGGATATGTCCTAAATATAGAAATTTATAAAGGTAAATCTAATAGAGAAGATGTCAGGGGCAGTTCTAAAATAAATTCTTTAGTTCTTAGGCTTCTGGAGCCATTTCTAGATAAAGGCCACCATATATACATGGATAACTTTTAGGTATAACAGTGTCCAGTTATCGGAAATCCTATTGCAAAGGAAAACTCACAGGACGGGGACATTACGCTCCAATAGAAAAGGTAATCCCAAAGAGGTTACTGGAGCCAAGTTGAAATCCGGGCAGCATATTTGGAGAAGAAAGGGAAATGTGTATGTTTCCAAATGGCGCGACAAACGTGATGTCTTATCCATCACGACGGGCTATAAGCCTGAATTGGTTGAAACTGCCAACAGGTATGGTCATAAAAAAACCAAGCCATTAATGGTCAGTTGCTATAATGACAATATGTCAGGTATTAATCGTGCAGATCAAATGATTATCTGTTATTCATGTCCTAGAAAAACAATCAGGTGGCACAAAAAGGTTATATTTCATCTTCTTGATATAGCTGTCTGGAATTCCCATTATTTATATAATCATAGCCAGAAAGATAACAAGACGTTCAAAGAGTTCCGAAATGATTTAATAAAATCCTTACTTGGGATCTCTCCGGATCAGAGAGCTGGAAGGGAATTTGTCAACTTGATGAAAAAAACAAAGTCTATACATCCAAAAAAAGTAGAGAAAATTTGGGCCACGTTTTGAAGGCTATACCTGTGCCAGAAACCAAAAAAGGTAAAAAAAAGATTTATAAATAAACGCTGTAAACAGTGCTACCTAGAACAAAGGAGGAAGTAGACTGCATGACAATGCCGTGATTGTATAAGAAAACCATCTCTTTGTGTTGGAGACTGTTTTCAGGTTTGGCATAAAGCTTGATCGCTTATATTGAAAACACCTAAGTATTTATTTTGCTGTTTGACAATGAATAAAATTTAAGGAATATGTATTTATTTTGTGTTTGTACACATACTATACTTCATAATAAAATTTGTTTCTGTACTGCTCTGGTTATTGTTCATGACTTCAATAGAAAACATTTAATTTAAATGAGTTAAGCAAGCAGCTATTCGCATGCGGCATATGCCGTCAAGTATCCCATGTGAGTGAAATGGGTGCGTAGGGGGACATGACGTCATATACCGCATGATTTTTTTCCATCATATCTGCATGTGTGAAAAATTCCTGTTTGAATGCTATTTGATTCATTTTTCTATGTTTGATATGAAATAATTTATCAACGTGACATTTTGAGCACACCTCAACATTTCTCAGTGCCCCGCTAGAAAACAGTTCATTGACGTGATATGCCGTCAGTGTCCGCGAACGTGTTAACCTAGGCGCCCAGCGGCATATTTAATTTCGATAAGCACGATATTTTCTGTACCTGGGGCTTGATTCTAAATGTATTTCCTCTGTTGAAATTAATTTCGATGACCGGTGATTCGCAGGTCGTGACCAAAAATTAAACATCATACATAAGATCGCGTTTTAAAGGCGGTCTTCTATCTAACATTTTTTCCTCGAGGATTTCGTTAAAAAGATACGGGGTGTTGAAGTTTAAAAATACTTTTTTTTAATATACTAAGTGACATATAAATCCGAACACCCAGTTTAAATGGTTTTATTTTAATAAAAGTTGGTGAATGTATTTATCTTACTGTAAATAACAAGTGAAAAAATTTTCAGCCTTATCAGTAGGACATTCCGGTTTTTATACTGCTTTTTTTTAATTCACTAACGCTCTAAAAATGAAAATTTCAGCCGCAGTAAAGAATCAACGTTGGCGGATTTTGGTTCTTGACATCCTTTACGATCGGTTACGATGCCTAGAGTACGGAGACCTGTACGATTTCGTCAACTTAGTGAGTTTGATAGGGGCCGTATAGTGGGACTTCGGGAAGCTGGATTTTCTTTTCGGGCAATTGCAGTTAGAGTGCAAAGAAGTGTAGACACTGTGGTTAGGTGTTGTCAGGCATGGCTTCGAGAAGGCCGTACGCAAAGAGCAAGGGGCTCTGGACGCCGCCGTAGAACAACAGACCGTGGAGATCGCCGCCTAAGATTATTGGCCTTAAGGGACCGTTTCTCCACTACCAGGTCCATTGCAAATGAATGGTTTGCAGAACACGGAAGACCTATTGGCATGCGAAGTGTTTACCGACGAATGAGAAGTTTTGGCTTGTTTTCATACCGGCCACACTGGGTCCTCCCTTTAACTCGAGAACACCGACGTAATCGCCTTGAGTGGAGCAGACAACGGTCACTCTGGGATCAGGAATGGAACAGTATTGTCTTTAATGACGAGTCTCGATTTTGTTTAGGCATGCACGATGGTCGTGCCAGGGTTAGAAGGCGACGTGGTGAAAGGAGGAATCCACAGTTTTTTGTTGAAAGACATGTTCATCACACTGTTGGAGTTATGGTTTGGGGTGCTATAGCTTATGGTTCCAGGTCACCTTTAATCTTCATCAGAGGTAACATGAACGCGAAACGTTATATCCACGAAGTTCTAGAACCCCATCTTTTACCCTATCTTTACACCCTGCCAGATCCAACTTTCCAACAAGATAATGCCCGACCACATGTTGCAAGAGTCACAATAGACTTCTTTCAACATAATGATGTCACATTGTTATCATGGCCACCAAGATCTCTCGACTTATCCCCAATTGAGCACGTGTGGGATATGATGGGTAGCAGATTGCTCAAGTTGCAACGTCTTTCTCAGACTCTAGAAGCACTTCGAGAGGAGTTGGTGGATGCCTGGAATGAGATACCACAGGAGGGCATTGACCACCTGATCAGAAGCATGCCTAGGCGCGTTGGAGAATGCGTAGCACATCAGGGTGCATCCACACATTATTAAAGGTCAAAGGGCTTTAAAGCAGTGCAATCATTTTGAAATTTTTATCATTTACTTATTATGCTTCATTAAGTACTTATACAAAATTTTATTAAAATAAAACCATTTAAACTGGGTGTTCGGATTTATATGTCACTTAGTATATCTTCAAAACCGTCAACTGAAATGAACTAAAATTTGGTATGTGCATTTACCTAAGTATTGTCCACATTCAGAAGGCTTTACTTAAGGACCAGTGGCGGAGATAGAGGGGATTAGTGGCATCATTTTTCGAAATAAAAATAGTAAGCCGTTGTTTTTTTTGGAAACGCGAAATGTTCCAAATTCTACCTCCAATTTTCTACAAATAAATACTCTTGTGTTTTTTCCTAGAATGCATTGTTTTCGAGTGCCCTCTAGGGAAAAACACAGGAGTAATTAGGAAATTAAAGATATAAAGCAGTGGCGTGCTATTTTTATTTATAAAATAATGCCATTAATCCCCTGTAACTCCGCCACTGGTGCACGATTATTATAGGAAAAGACTTTTGAATATGGACAATACTTAGCTAAATCCATGTATCAAATTTTAGCTCATTCCAGTTGACGGTTTTGAAGATATTAGAAAAAATAGTTTTTTATTTTTAAACTTCAACACCCCGTATATTTTTAATGAAGTCCTCGAGGAGAAAATGTTACATAGAAGACCCCCCTTAAAATGCGGTCTTGTATATGACGTTTCATTTTTGGTCACGACTGTATATAAACCGATATGATGGTTTTTACACCTGAATCTAACGATCTTTTCTAGTCAAAGTATCATGACATTCTCAGTGCTATCATAGTGGATCAAATACATGATAGCAAGGCGCAATCGAAATTATTTCAACAGTAGAACTTCAATTAGAATCAGGCATCAGATACCAAGCTAAACTTTTTGATAGCACATTCACCATATTTTAAAACGTGACGAATCATTCACGCGCTTTCACCATTTTTCACAATACTTGTAAATTTGTAAATTCTATTGATTATCTGAAGATGAGGGTACACCTCAGCAGTTTTTCATTATTTGTACGATTTTTTTTGTTTTTCCTAGAGCAAATGTATTGAATTCTTTTGGTCCCTCGTATCTGCCTGTTCATCATAACAACCATTTCAAAAGTAGCTTTACAAAAGTTTTGCCAACATTTGAAGAGCGAAAATGCAAAAACCGATAAATCCACTTTTTATGATTTTTGATTTGAGTTAGGCATGGAATTCGGTTAATTTCGATATGCTCTATCCGTTTTGAAAGGCAGATATGAGCAAACGCCGATAAATCCTCATGAAAAATAGGTACAAACTCAGTGTATTCATGCAAAACCCAATAAATCCAAAATTAATGCAAAAAGTGCTAAATTATTTTGTATTATCATGAAATCTGTGAATTTATTATCAAATCAACTGGTCAGGTGGCATTGATCGTGTAAATTTCATTATTATTTTTTCAGTGCTTCAAAAATGGAATATTCAGATGTGTGTATATGAAAATGTTTAGGAGGTTTTTTGTTTCTCTTTTGTCTTTGGCGTGCCGATTGGCGTTTGTGTGGTGGGTTCTAAGTCAGTTTGTTTTCTTGACAAAATAACAATCGATGAAAGTCTCCGTAAAGTTGAAGACATTAATCGGGATTCCAGAAAAATCTATCTATGTCTAGTTATCTTTTTCTTTATATTTTCTTTAAGTGTTCCTATTACTTTTAGTTATTACTCGTATATTAATAATAATGTTTAGAGTTTGGTGTTACTATTTTTTAGAAGTTATTCATGTTTTGTTTCTTTCTTCCTAAAATGAATTAAAAATAAATGTTTTTAGCGATCTTTGTTTTTGAGAATATAATACAATCAAATAGCATTTTAATACTATTTTCACTCCGTAATTTCACAAAGGAAACAACTTTCACGCAAAAACCGATAAATCCAAAGTTAATTATTTATTAAAAAAAAACTGCAGGTA